ACATCTGCTGTGCTCCCATCGTTGCTGGTCCACATTCTAGAATGCCGCTAGGTATGCTTGGCGGGCGTGTCATACGGGGGGGGCTGGTCGATAAAACGGCAGGCAGGAGGAAAAAGTGTTTCTGGTGAAGTGTGCTAGGCTGCCCGCCCTTGATTCTAACGAGGGTTACATGCGCATAGGTTGCCGCTAGCGAAGGTTGGAGGTCACGCGTGTTTACAGCTAGGGATTCGTGTGGCTACCACTCTCTTGCACATGAGATCGAGGGTGAGTGTGGGACGCAGAAGTTCTGCAGCGGGCAGAACGCTAAATATGTTGTTTTGCTAAGTGAGGAAGACATCTGAAGCGCGAAGATCGACGGCGAGAAATGATCAAGGGTGTCAATGGGGTGCTCTCACTCTTTCCTTTGTTGCACGTCGCTGAATTCTCGGTATTCCTTGGGAAACCGTTGGATCTTGATTTCAGGCACGTCCTGCCCATCTCCGGAGGGTATGGATGCTCGCATGGCGGGAAAGGTTTCATGACCCACCTTGGATTGCGGAAGGCCAAGTTTGGAGATGTCACGTGGCGCTTGGTGAAACGGTGCAGCTGTTCAACTAAACCAGCAAAGCAAAGTTTCCCGCCAACTCAATACAAGGCATTTCCGAGAAGCACCAGTCCCACCAATGAAGCAGATCTACACCTATCAACCCGGATACAGAAATACATTCCTACAAGGGAAAGTGTAGCACAACACAAAGTGGTACTGCTATTTACTGAAATGTGTTGAAGTGGTTGTAGGTGGCGGCGGAGAGCTGGCACTCTTGAACAAAAAAATGGCGAAGCAGAGTAGATGTGAGGAGGCGTTAAGAGTGCCTTTTGTGCAAAAGTGATTGGCGCCAACAGGTGAGTGAGTACTGAGCAGTCTTGAATTCAAAGCAAGTGGTGTCAACTCCCAAACCAGGATCAGATTGCTAGGTTGGAAAACAAAAATCGCCCAACTTGATCATCTTCACCACCAATCTAAAAACATCAAGCCATACATGGTACGAACGCAAGGGGGCTCTAAAGACCGTTTTTTGTCATATACCTTTTCAGACCCCATGATATCCAATGACTGGAGCAGCTTAAGGCCTGAAATGTCATTTGGAAAAGTCTGCAGCTCCTTACAGTTACTCAAAGACAGTCGCTTCAACCTGGTCAACTCAGAAAACCTGGGAGGAAGGGAGCGAATAGACAAATTCGAAGCATCCAGCCAAGTTAGGCAGGCAAGCTGAGTGAGGGAAGCAGGAAGATGTTCGAAAGCAGGGCAATGGATCAGGCTGAGCTTTTGAAGCCGGGATAATGCACCGATTGCATCAGGCAGGGAAGTCAGTTTCGGAAGTTCAACGAGCTCCAAGCGCGTGAGGTGCTTTAACTGTGTGATGCTTGCTGGCAAATGCTCCAATTCCTCCGAACCCTGTATCCGCAGCTTTCGCAGCTGCGGCAGAACTGATCCAAAATCTTCTGGAAGCTCCTTCAGCTTCACAAAACACCAAATGGTCAAAGTACGAAGCTGCTTCAGAAAAGTCAAAGGGAAAGGCAGCGTCTTTGCATTCTTCGCCAGGTGCAGTATCAAGTGCTTCAGTTGGGACAAGCTTTTACTTGTCGTTACTTTTCGCCCAGTAGTAACCATGCTTAAGCTTAAACCGGTGAGATTTGGCAGCTTGGAAACGTCGGGCATCTGAGTGAGCTTGGCGCAACCCCCCCAGTTCAAGACTTCCAGAGAGCAGGGAAGTGACTCCGGAAATTCTGTCAGTGCAGTGCACGCATGAATCTGCAGCCGTTTGAGCTTTGTAAGGCACCCCAATCTCCTGGGGAATGAAAACAGCGCGTAACAGTTGTCGATCGTCAAAATCTCGAGGTTGGTCAGACAGGTAACGGAATCAGGAATCTTCTTGAACGAGCAGCCGTGGATGTGCAAAATCTTCATGCCTTTCAGCTTCCCCAAGTCCTCTGGAAGTTCACTGAAGGAACAACTATCGAGATCAAGCATCGTGAGGGAGGATAATTGGGTGATCGAGGACGGGAAATGGCTCTTCCAGCTGTTGCACAGACACAGGATCTGCAGATTACTCAGCATTCCAATGTCTTCAGGAAGCGTCACTTGTGTATTCTCGAGGCACAGTGCCTTTAGCGCTGTCAGGCAGCAGAAACCTTCCGGAAGCTTGGATAGCTGACGGTTCTCATTCATGATAAACGTCTCCAGCGATGTGAGCAGGCTGAAGGAGTCCGGAAGATGGGAGAGATTCACCAGGTTCAGCACCAACTTCTTAAGAGCAGGCAGCTGCCCAAAACTTTCAGGCAGGCTGAAATCCCCCCTCGTTCTTAAAATCCTCAGGGTCTCTAATCGGCTCAGCAACGTGATGCTTTCAGGAAGAGATTGGAGAGTCTCACAACCGTTAATGTACAGCTCGCGCAGATTCGGCAGCCGATCTCCAATGTCGTCAGGAAGGCTTGCTAGTTGGTCTGGTCGGGTGATGAGGAGTTGTTCGAGGCTGGTGCATGGTGATTCTGGAGGGAACATTTGGTCGAACTGCGGAGATGCTGTTTGGATAGTCAGCGACTTCAGACAGGGTAGAACTTCTGCGATGGCTAGAGCAGTAGAAGATTGATCACTTGAGACTACGCGGGTGCCGTGAGGGAACTGTAGGCTGGTGAGATTCGGAAGGCGAACGAGGGATGATAGCTGCTGGTAGTTCAAAAGCGGACAGGTAATTCAGAGAGTGCTAAGAGCAGAAAGGTTGGCGATAGCAGGATCTTCTAGCGCTGATGCGTCAGGTAAAGAGACCTTTTGCAGCCGCGTTAACTGGAAAAAAGAAGCCGGAAGTTTGACGTCTCGATGCAGGCAGCGTAACGAAAGCTTCTCCAGCTGGGTGCAACTCCGGAAGAAATGATCCAAGCCAGCTTCCGTCACGGGATGCAGATGCTTCCTCGCGTCATAATGATGCTGTGTGATCCGTTCCCCCACGTGCAGAGCCGTCAGCTTGGGACACGATGAGGCGAGGTGAAGCAGGAAGGCGTCATCTAGAGTCTCCACGCTCTCGTAGCAAAGATGGAGGTGCGTTAGGTTCGGAAAGCGAGAGACCGCGATGACGAGATCTTGGCGGGAAACGACGCGGACCGATCTGACCAGAAGCGTGGAGACGTGATGCTGGGAGAGAGAGCGCCAGCGACGACAGACGGACGCTACCCCGAGAGTCCACGCACCATTGGTAAAGGCGGGAGGTGTAGGTAAAGGGCCGGAAGTTTCGCGGAAGTAGTCCTTAATATGCACTCCGGCGGTTGACTTTATCATCGAGTGCGTGAACTCTTGCATATCGTCGCTGTCGGTATCCCACGGCGGAAGCTGCTTGGATCGCCATAAGATCCTGACGAGGATCTCGTCAGGAAGACTGTGAATGTGCATGCGAGACTTCATTTCAGCAGGACTCGATGTTACCGAGGCGAAACAGGTGGCCACAGTAGTCACACACGAACACGGGGAGGAGTTGGGAGGATTTAGCTCAGGAGGATCTCTGAAGGCCGTTATAGATGATCTGCGAGTTAGACTGGAGTTGAACGAGGGTGGAGCAATAGGTGAATCGGTTCGGTTCGGTTCAGAGGACCACGTTCGCAACTTCGCGCCATCTGTCCTTCATCTGACCTGAAACAGCTGAATTGCACGCGGTAAGAAGAATGCATGTCACAAAACCAGTTATAGATTTACAGGTCAACAGCATTAACTGCTCAGTAGTTAAGTTGCTAGACATACAAGTATTTCATTGGTCAAGTTGCCACATCAAACTTCCACCTGTTAGCAAGCCTAACAAGAGACCAGCAAATCAGCTGGAAAATGAGGCCTGGACACCTCAAAGCACACTGATAATTAGTTCCTGCCTGGCCCCCTGTTGTCATCCACCTGATTGGTTGCCCGCTTTGATTCCTAATAATATTCAGCTCTCCTGGTTATTGCTGGGTGTGTGTTACCAGCATGTCCTGACTACAGTGGATGTGATGGTAATGGGTGTGATAATAACAGGTTTGTTACCAGCCACGACTGATGCACACAGCAGCACCACCAAAACCATTATCTCCAAGCCACAGCTCCATCCTCTATTCGCCAGCTGCTCAAATACTTCTCCAATCCCACACCTGACTGCTGCATCCATCCAAACTACTGCCACAGGCTATCTTTGAGTCGATTCTGAATGCCTCCCACAAACCAAATCCGGCTCCCACAGCAACATCAGTACCAGCAGCTGCTGCCCCACCACTCCTTCCTGCAACAGCATCAGCAGCAGCCGCAGCTGCTCCCTTTCTCCTGCACATCCAGCTGCTGAAACGATTCCAGAGGGGGCTGTAACAGCCCCCTCTCGCTCCTAACTTGAAGTCTCCTGTCCACCACAGCTTCCCAACCTGTTGAGGTGTCACCCTTAGCCTTCTGAGATATTTTCAGTAGCTTTAGTACCGCCCTCCTTTCCGTCATCTAAAGCCGAAGGCTGGCACCTGCAGCACCCCAACCGCTCTGCTCCATAAATACCCCTCCATCCCTGACACACAACTCCTCACTGCGACGCCAGGGATTCTTGCAGGCTGTACAATCTCACGACTAAATCTTTCATTGTTGTAGGTCGGCATCTGGGGTCCTCCTGAACGCACTCCTTGGCCAGCACATCCAGCATCCTCACCACCATGCCTTCTTCCCCCACCCCTCCTCCTTCCCGCACCCACCACTTCCCCCCTGCCACCCACTCCCCACTGCACACCCCTCACTGCGACGCCAGGGACTCCTGCAGGTTGTATAGACTTTTGAGACGTCTCAAAAGACTCCTGCAGGCTGTATAGTCTCACGACCAAATCTTTCATTGTGGGTCGGCATCTGGGATCCTCCTGCACACATTCTTTCGCCAGAACATCCAACATGCGCACCACCATGCGTTTAGTCGGCTCGGCGCAAGCAGTGCTGAGCTCATACTCCTCGATGCGCGGCTCTGCCCACGCGATCAGCCCACTCCCCCAGTCCCCGCTCCCCCGTACCCACTCCCCCGGTACCCACTCTCCCACTCCTCGCTACTGCGATGCCAGAGATTCTTGGAGACTGTATAGTCTCACCACCAGATCCTTCATAGTGGGTCGGCATCTGGGGTCCTCCTGAACGCACTCCTTGGCCAGCACATCCAACATGCGCACCACCATGCGTTTAGTGGGCTCGGCGCAAGCAGCGCTGAGCTCGTACTCCTCGATGCGCGGCTCTGCCCACGCGATGAGCCCGTCCGCGCCCTCCCTGTCCGCCACCAGCGCGCCCCTGCGCCCCGTCAGCAGCTCGAATAGCACGACCCCGTAGTCAAACGCGTCCTTGGCCATGCCGTCCGGGCCTGGGGGTGGGGGAAACGGGCAGGGCGTGAAGAGCACAGGGAAGGAGTGAGGTCAGGTGGTAGGGAAAGGAGAGAGTGTGAGCAACAAGCCTCTCCCCCCGTCAGCAGCTCGAACAGCACCACCCCGTAGTCAAACGCGTCCTTGGCCATGCCGTCCGGGCCTGGCGGGGGTGGGAGAGGGATGAGAAGGGGTGAGGGCAGGTGGGATGGGATGGAGAGTGTGTGAGTGGAAAGCCCCTCCGCCTGATCAGCAGCTCGAATAGCACCACCCTGTTTTCAAACGCGTCCTTGGCCATGCCGTCCGGGCCTGGGAGGGGGCGAAAGGGAAGGGAGGAGCGAAAGAAATAAAAAGCACGGTCACAATGCTAGCGCGCACAGCACTAAAGTACTCATATCAAGTCAGGGAGGGTAACGTACCTTTGAGGTTCTTGCGTGTGCTCGTCTTGGACAGCATGGTTGCAAGGCCGTAGCCGGTCAGTGTCCAGCAGTTTGTGAGTCGAGTCAAAAGCAGCGAGAGAGTGAATCAAATAAATACCTTTGAGGTTCTTGCGTGTGCTCGTCTTGGACAGCATGGTTGCAAGGCCGTAGCCGGTCAGTGTCCAGCAGTTTGTGAGTCGAGTCAAAAGCAGCGAGAGAGTGAATCAAATAAATACCTTTGAGGTTCTTGCGTGTGCTGGTCTTGGACAGCATGGTTAGCATACAGTGTTCCGTCACTATCCGTCAGTCAGTCAGACGGCCCAGAAGCAGTGAGTGGGAATCCAGCAGCATCGGCACGATAAGTACCTTTGAGGTTCTTGCGAGTGCTGGTCTTGGACAGCATGGTCGCCAAACCATAGCCAGTCAACAGCACCGTAAAGTTCTGCCAAAAAAAAAAAAAAAAAAAAGACACAGGGAAGAAAGTTCAAGAGGATGGGGAAGAGAACTTAAAACTCCTGTCTCACAAGACATCATAGCACGTCAGCGCACTGTGAAGCTCTGGTGGGCAACGTGAAGGGAAGAACCCACCGAACATTCACCCAGCCACAGCCAACCTCACGAACTTTCACTGAACTCTCACCGAGCCACAGGAAACCCTAGGAAGTTTCATAGAACTCTCACCTTATCCAGCATGATGTTTCTTGACAGCAAGTTGCCTTGGACCACTGCGCCCGGGACATCTGAAAAGCCCCCTGTATACACTAGCGAACTTTCGCTGAACTCTCACTCTCTATCTTATTATGAACTCTCACTGAACTCTCACCTTATCCAGCATGATGTTTCTCGACAGCAGGTTCCCATGCACCATTGCACTCGAGTGCAGGAAGGTCAGCCCCTTGGCGATCCCCACTGCCACCTTGAGGCGTACTCTCAGCGGCAAAAACTCTCCCTCTCCATCCTCTGATGCAAGGGGTGAAGAGGGGTGAGATGAGATTGAAAAAGGTACAGGAAGGTCAACCCCTTGGCAATGCCCACTGCCACCTTGAGCCGCACTCGTAGAGGCAGGAACTCCCCCTCCGCATCCTTTGAAACATAGGGGGGAAATGAAATCATGGGAGTGAGGAGCGGGAGACGAGATGAGAAAAGATGCAGGAAGGTCAACCCCTTGGCGATAACACGCGTGTGATGAGTCGACTCAAAAACCGACTCATCACACGAGGAAGGTCAACCCCTTGGAGATAACCGCTGCCCATCTGGGAAGAGGTGGTTTTTTGGAGGCTCGTAACCCATGTGCAGTTTGGAGGCAGGTCATAGACGATTTGCATATCCTCCTTGTAATATCAAATCAAATCACTCTATAGCAAGGAGTTTCTCAAGGCATACCTGGAAAGAGGTAGTTTTCGAGGCATGTGCAGTTGGGAGGGAGGTCATAGGCGATCTGCATATCCTCCTTGTCCGCTGCATATCCCAGGATCGCTGCCAGATTCGTGTGCTGCAGCTTCGCCAGTGCTGCCATCTCCTTTTGCTGCAGCGATAGAAAGAGTAAACAAGCAGTGAGAGCAAGGGGGGAGAGTGAGTAGAAGGCGGGGGGGGGGAGATGGGGGAACAAGAATAAGAGCGATCTGCATATCCTCCTTGTCCGCTGCATATCCCAGGATGGCTGCCAGATTCGTGTGCTGCAGCTTTGCCAATGCTGCCATCTCCTTTTGCTGCAGCACACGGAAGGTAAACAAGTGTTCAGAGGAGAGGGGGTTGGTGTGGGGCTGGGAAATGCAGAGGAGCAGAAACAAGGGTGATCTGCATGTCCTCCTTGTCCGCTGCATATCCCAGGATGGCTGCAAGATTCGTGTGCTGCAGCTTCGCCAGTGCCGCCATCTCCTTTTGCTGCAGCGAGCAAGGGGAGGGGAGGAACGAAAGGTGGGCGCATCACAGGCGAGCAAGTGTTCGGAGCCCAGGGAAGAGCTAAGTGTGGAGGGAAGAGGGACGGGGGCTTTTGAGTCGACTCAAAAGTCACCTCGGAACGAAAGGTGGGCGCATCACAGGTGAGCAAGTGTTCGGAGCCCAGGGAAGAGCTAAGTGTGAGGCGAAGGGGGCCGCGTGGAGGGGGAAAGGGGGGTGGGTAGATGGGGGAACAGACAGAGCTGTCCGTTATCTGCCTGTTGGCCTTGTCTATTTTTGAGTCGACTCAAAAACCGACTTACTAAAGAGCTATCTGTTATCTGCCTGTTCGCCTTGTCTGCTACCCATGGCACCCCCCTCATAATGAGGTGACTTTTGAGTCGACTCAAGAGTCACCTCTGTCACCTCCCTGTTCGCCTTATCTGCTCACCATGGGATCCCCCTCATCATGTGAACCCCCTCACATTCCCCCCCACAGAAATCAAAACAACAACACTCACCATCTTCCCCTTCCGCCCGAGCCCATACATGCGCCCTCTGCTCGACTCCGCCTGTGCTGCCACCGGCACAGACCCACCCGCACCCCCTTGCGAAACCATAGAGTTTGTTCTCGCATGCACATGTGCATTCGCATGTGCTGCTGCCGCCCCTCCCCCTCCAGCCGCTGCTGCCGCACCAGGCACATCAGCCGATTTCGACTTGGGGATTGTAGACATGTAGGGGGGAAGAGTGGAGGGCTGGGGTGACTGGGCGAAGTGGGAGGTGTGGTGGTGCTGTGGCGGTAGTTGCTGCTGGGATAGCTGCTGCGACTGTTGCGCCTGCTGTTGCTGCTTGTCTAGTTGCGTCTGACTGAGCCGGTGCCTCGACGGCTGGTGCTCCTGGGAGTAATAAGCAGAATTAACCGTTTTCGATGTGGGTAACCTTGGAGATAGCATATCAAACCCTCCCCCTCCCCCTCCCCCTCCGCCTCCTCCCCCTCCGCCCCCTCCTCCTCCCCCGCCGAAACCATCGTTCCCACCGCCATACCCCCCCATCCCCTCCTCCTCCTCTAACAAATCGGTAATCTCCTGCATAGACGCGTCACTTAGGCTCCTAGCAGGGGCCCGCCTAGGCCGCCAAAATTCTTTGTTAAACACTTTCATCCCACCGCTGCCGCCGCCGCCAGCAGCAGCGGCGCGGGGAGAGTAGGAGGGTTCGGGGGTGGTGGGTAGGAGCGGCGGCATAGGCGGAGTGAGGTGCTGGTTGTCCCGCCAGGAGCCCCGGCTGCCAGGCTTGGGGGGAAGAATTCGCTGCATTGATGGGTTGGGACGAGTGTTGATGGGCGGCGGGGAGGAGACAGATGCTGCTGCAGTGGAGAAGAGGGGGAGGGGGAGGGGGAGGGGAAAGGGGAAGGGGAAGGGGAAAAAGCAAGAACACAAGGGAAGGAATGGGAAGAGAGGCGGGTGAGTGAGATAGAGGAGGGAGCGGCGGCATAGGCGGAGTGAGGTGCTGGTTGTCCCGCCAGGAGCCCCGGCTGCCAGGCTTGGGGGGAAGAATTCGCTGCATTGATGGGTTGGGACGAGTGTTGATGGGCGGCGGGGAGGAGACAGATGCTGCTGCAGTGGAGAAGAGGGGGAGGGGGAGGGGGAGGGGAAAGGGGAAGGGGAAGGGGAAAAAGCAAGAACACAAGGGAAGGAATGGGAAGAGAGGCGGGTGAGTGAGATAGAGGAGGGAGCGGCGGCATAGGCGGAGTGAGGTGCTGGTTGTCCCGCCAGGAGCCCCGGCTGCCAGGCTTGGGGGGAAGAATTCGCTGCATTGATGGGTTGGGACGAGTGTTGATGGGCGGCGGGGAGGAGACAGATGCTGCTGCAGTGGAGAAGAGGGGGAGGGGGAGGGGGAGGGGAAAGGGGAAGGGGAAGGGGAAAAAGCAAGAACACAAGGGAAGGAATGGGAAGAGAGGCGGGTGAGTGAGATAGAGGAGGGAGCGGCGGCATAGGCGGAGTGAGGTGCTGGTTGTCCCGCCAGGAGCCCCGGCTGCCAGGCTTGGGGGGAAGAATTCGCTGCATTGATGGGTTGGGACGAGTGTTGATGGGCGGCGGGGAGGAGACAGATGCTGCTGCAGTGGAGAAGAGGGGGAGGGGGAGGGGGAGGGGAAAGGGGAAGGGGAAGGGGAAAAAGCAAGAACACAAGGGAAGGAATGGGAAGAGAGGCGGGTGAGTGAGATAGAGGAGGGAGCGGCGGCATAGGCGGAGTGAGGTGCTGGTTGTCCCGCCAGGAGCCCCGGCTGCCAGGCTTGGGGGGAAGAATTCGCTGCATTGATGGGTTGGGACGAGTGTTGATGGGCGGCGGGGAGGAGACAGATGCTGCTGCAGTGGAGAAGAGGGGGAGGGGGAGGGGGAGGGGAAAGGGGAAGGGGAAGGGGAAAAAGCAAGAACACAAGGGAAGGAATGGGAAGAGAGGCGGGTGAGTGAGATAGAGGAGGGAGCGGCGGCATAGGCGGAGTGAGGTGCTGGTTGTCCCGCCAGGAGCCCCGGCTGCCAGGCTTGGGGGGAAGAATTCGCTGCATTGATGGGTTGGGACGAGTGTTGATGGGCGGCGGGGAGGAGACAGATGCTGCTGCAGTGGAGAAGAGGGGGAGGGGGAGGGGGAGGGGAAAGGGGAAGGGGAAGGGGAAAAAGCAAGAACACAAGGGAAGGAATGGGAAGAGAGGCGGGTGAGTGAGATAGAGGAGGGAGCGGCGGCATAGGCGGAGTGAGGTGCTGGTTGTCCCGCCAGGAGCCCCGGCTGCCAGGCTTGGGGGGAAGAATTCGCTGCATTGATGGGTTGGGACGAGTGTTGATGGGCGGCGGGGAGGAGACAGATGCTGCTGCAGTGGAGAAGAGGGGGAGGGGGAGGGGGAGGGGAAAGGGGAAGGGGAAGGGGAAAAAGCAAGAACACAAGGGAAGGAATGGGAAGAGAGGCGGGTGAGTGAGATAGAGGAGGGAGCGGCGGCATAGGCGGAGTGAGGTGCTGGTTGTCCCGCCAGGAGCCCCGGCTGCCAGGCTTGGGGGGAAGAATTCGCTGCATTGATGGGTTGGGACGAGTGTTGATGGGCGGCGGGGAGGAGACAGATGCTGCTGCAGTGGAGAAGAGGGGGAGGGGGAGGGGGAGGGGAAAGGGGAAGGGGAAGGGGAAAAAGCAAGAACACAAGGGAAGGAATGGGAAGAGAGGCGGGTGAGTGAGATAGAGGAGGGAGCGGCGGCATAGGCGGAGTGAGGTGCTGGTTGTCCCGCCAGGAGCCCCGGCTGCCAGGCTTGGGGGGAAGAATTCGCTGCATTGATGGGTTGGGACGAGTGTTGATGGGCGGCGGGGAGGAGACAGATGCTGCTGCAGTGGAGAAGAGGGGGAGGGGGAGGGGGAGGGGAAAGGGGAAGGGGAAGGGGAAAAAGCAAGAACACAAGGGAAGGAATGGGAAGAGAGGCGGGTGAGTGAGATAGAGGAGGGAGCGGCGGCATAGGCGGAGTGAGGTGCTGGTTGTCCCGCCAGGAGCCCCGGCTGCCAGGCTTGGGGGGAAGAATTCGCTGCATTGATGGGTTGGGACGAGTGTTGATGGGCGGCGGGGAGGAGACAGATGCTGCTGCAGTGGAGAAGAGGGGGAGGGGGAGGGGGAGGGGAAAGGGGAAGGGGAAGGGGAAAAAGCAAGAACACAAGGGAAGGAATGGGAAGAGAGGCGGGTGAGTGAGATAGAGGAGGGAGCGGCGGCATAGGCGGAGTGAGGTGCTGGTTGTCCCGCCAGGAGCCCCGGCTGCCAGGCTTGGGGGGAAGAATTCGCTGCATTGATGGGTTGGGACGAGTGTTGATGGGCGGCGGGGAGGAGACAGATGCTGCTGCAGTGGAGAAGAGGGGGAGGGGGAGGGGGAGGGGAAAGGGGAAGGGGAAGGGGAAAAAGCAAGAACACAAGGGAAGGAATGGGAAGAGAGGCGGGTGAGTGAGATAGAGGAGGGAGCGGCGGCATAGGCGGAGTGAGGTGCTGGTTGTCCCGCCAGGAGCCCCGGCTGCCAGGCTTGGGGGGAAGAATTCGCTGCATTGATGGGTTGGGACGAGTGTTGATGGGCGGCGGGGAGGAGACAGATGCTGCTGCAGTGGAGAAGAGGGGGAGGGGGAGGGGGAGGGGAAAGGGGAAGGGGAAGGGGAAAAAGCAAGAACACAAGGGAAGGAATGGGAAGAGAGGCGGGTGAGTGAGATAGAGGAGGGAGCGGCGGCATAGGCGGAGTGAGGTGCTGGTTGTCCCGCCAGGAGCCCCGGCTGCCAGGCTTGGGGGGAAGAATTCGCTGCATTGATGGGTTGGGACGAGTGTTGATGGGCGGCGGGGAGGAGACAGATGCTGCTGCAGTGGAGAAGAGGGGGAGGGGGAGGGGGAGGGGAAAGGGGAAGGGGAAGGGGAAAAAGCAAGAACACAAGGGAAGGAATGGGAAGAGAGGCGGGTGAGTGAGATAGAGGAGGGAGCGGCGGCATAGGCGGAGTGAGGTGCTGGTTGTCCCGCCAGGAGCCCCGGCTGCCAGGCTTGGGGGGAAGAATTCGCTGCATTGATGGGTTGGGACGAGTGTTGATGGGCGGCGGGGAGGAGACAGATGCTGCTGCAGTGGAGAAGAGGGGGAGGGGGAGGGGGAGGGGAAAGGGGAAGGGGAAGGGGAAAAAGCAAGAACACAAGGGAAGGAATGGGAAGAGAGGCGGGTGAGTGAGATAGAGGAGGGAGCGGCGGCATAGGCGGAGTGAGGTGCTGGTTGTCCCGCCAGGAGCCCCGGCTGCCAGGCTTGGGGGGAAGAATTCGCTGCATTGATGGGTTGGGACGAGTGTTGATGGGCGGCGGGGAGGAGACAGATGCTGCTGCAGTGGAGAAGAGGGGGAGGGGGAGGGGGAGGGGAAAGGGGAAGGGGAAGGGGAAAAAGCAAGAACACAAGGGAAGGAATGGGAAGAGAGGCGGGTGAGTGAGATAGAGGAGGGAGCGGCGGCATAGGCGGAGTGAGGTGCTGGTTGTCCCGCCAGGAGCCCCGGCTGCCAGGCTTGGGGGGAAGAATTCGCTGCATTGATGGGTTGGGACGAGTGTTGATGGGCGGCGGGGAGGAGACAGATGCTGCTGCAGTGGAGAAGAGGGGGAGGGGGAGGGGGAGGGGAAAGGGGAAGGGGAAGGGGAAAAAGCAAGAACACAAGGGAAGGAATGGGAAGAGAGGCGGGTGAGTGAGATAGAGGAGGGAGCGGCGGCATAGGCGGAGTGAGGTGCTGGTTGTCCCGCCAGGAGCCCCGGCTGCCAGGCTTGGGGGGAAGAATTCGCTGCATTGATGGGTTGGGACGAGTGTTGATGGGCGGCGGGGAGGAGACAGATGCTGCTGCAGTGGAGAAGAGGGGGAGGGGGAGGGGGAGGGGAAAGGGGAAGGGGAAGGGGAAAAAGCAAGAACACAAGGGAAGGAATGGGAAGAGAGGCGGGTGAGTGAGATAGAGGAGGGAGCGGCGGCATAGGCGGAGTGAGGTGCTGGTTGTCCCGCCAGGAGCCCCGGCTGCCAGGCTTGGGGGGAAGAATTCGCTGCATTGATGGGTTGGGACGAGTGTTGATGGGCGGCGGGGAGGAGACAGATGCTGCTGCAGTGGAGAAGAGGGGGAGGGGGAGGGGGAGGGGAAAGGGGAAGGGGAAGGGGAAAAAGCAAGAACACAAGGGAAGGAATGGGAAGAGAGGCGGGTGAGTGAGATAGAGGAGGGAGCGGCGGCATAGGCGGAGTGAGGTGCTGGTTGTCCCGCCAGGAGCCCCGGCTGCCAGGCTTGGGGGGAAGAATTCGCTGCATTGATGGGTTGGGACGAGTGTTGATGGGCGGCGGGGAGGAGACAGATGCTGCTGCAGTGGAGAAGAGGGGGAGGGGGGAGGGGGAGGGGAAAGGGGAAGGGGAAGGGGAAAAAGCAAGAACACAAGGGAAGGAATGGGAAGAGAGGCGGGTGAGTGAGATAGAGGAGGGAGCGGCGGCATAGGCGGAGTGAGGTGCTGGTTGTCCCGCCAGGAGCCCCGGCTGCCAGGCTTGGGGGGAAGAATTCGCTGCATTGATGGGTTGGGACGAGTGTTGATGGGCGGCGGGGAGGAGACAGATGCTGCTGCAGTGGAGAAGAGGGGGAGGGGGAGGGGGAGGGGAAAGGGGAAGGGGAAGGGGAAAAAGCAAGAACACAAGGGAAGGAATGGGAAGAGAGGCGGGTGAGTGAGATAGAGGAGGGAGCGGCGGCATAGGCGGAGTGAGGTGCTGGTTGTCCCGCCAGGAGCCCCGGCTGCCAGGCTTGGGGGGAAGAATTCGCTGCATTGATGGGTTGGGACGAGTGTTGATGGGCGGCGGGGAGGAGACAGATGCTGCTGCAGTGGAGAAGAGGGGGAGGGGGGAGGGGGAGGGGAAAGGGGAAGGGGAAGGGGAAAAAGCAAGAACACAAGGGAAGGAATGGGAAGAGAGGCGGGTGAGTGAGATAGAGGAGGGAGCGGCGGCATAGGCGGAGTGAGGTGCTGGTTGTCCCGCCAGGAGCCCCGGCTGCCAGGCTTGGGGGGAAGAATTCGCTGCATTGATGGGTTGGGACGAGTGTTGATGGGCGGCGGGGAGGAGACAGATGCTGCTGCAGTGGAGAAGAGGGGGAGGGGGAGGGGGAGGGGAAAGGGGAAGGGGAAGGGGAAAAAGCAAGAACACAAGGGAAGGAATGGGAAGAGAGGCGGGTGAGTGAGATAGAGGAGGGAGCGGCGGCATAGGCGGAGTGAGGTGCTGGTTGTCCCGCCAGGAGCCCCGGCTGCCAGGCTTGGGGGGAAGAATTCGCTGCATTGATGGGTTGGGACGAGTGTTGATGGGCGGCGGGGAGGAGACAGATGCTGCTGCAGTGGAGAAGAGGGGGAGGGGGAGGGGGAGGGGAAAGGGGAAGGGGAAGGGGAAAAAGCAAGAACACAAGGGAAGGAATGGGAAGAGAGGCGGGTGAGTGAGATAGAGGAGGGAGCGGCGGCATAGGCGGAGTGAGGTGCTGGTTGTCCCGCCAGGAGCCCCGGCTGCCAGGCTTGGGGGGAAGAATTCGCTGCATTGATGGGTTGGGACGAGTGTTGATGGGCGGCGGGGAGGAGACAGATGCTGCTGCAGTGGAGAAGAGGGGGAGGGGGAGGGGGAGGGGAAAGGGGAAGGGGAAGGGGAAAAAGCAAGAACACAAGGGAAGGAATGGGAAGAGAGGCGGGTGAGTGAGATAGAGGAGGGAGCGGCGGCATAGGCGGAGTGAGGTGCTGGTTGTCCCGCCAGGAGCCCCGGCTGCCAGGCTTGGGGGGAAGAATTCGCTGCATTGATGGGTTGGGACGAGTGTTGATGGGCGGCGGGGAGGAGACAGATGCTGCTGCAGTGGAGAAGAGGGGGAGGGGGAGGGGGAGGGGAAAGGGGAAGGGGAAGGGGAAAAAGCAAGAACACAAGGGAAGGAATGGGAAGAGAGGCGGGTGAGTGAGATAGAGGAGGGAGCGGCGGCATAGGCGGAGTGAGGTGCTGGTTGTCCCGCCAGGAGCCCCGGCTGCCAGGCTTGGGGGGAAGAATTCGCTGCATTGATGGGTTGGGACGAGTGTTGATGGGCGGCGGGGAGGAGACAGATGCTGCTGCAGTGGAGAAGAGGGGGAGGGGGAGGGGGAGGGGAAAGGGGAAGGGGAAGGGGAAAAAGCAAGAACACAAGGGAAGGAATGGGAAGAGAGGCGGGTGAGTGAGATAGAGGAGGGAGCGGCGGCATAGGCGGAGTGAGGTGCTGGTTGTCCCGCCAGGAGCCCCGGCTGCCAGGCTTGGGGGGAAGAATTCGCTGCATTGATGGGTTGGGACGAGTGTTGATGGGCGGCGGGGAGGAGACAGATGCTGCTGCAGTGGAGAAGAGGGGGAGGGGGAGGGGGAGGGGAAAGGGGAAGGGGAAGGGGAAAAAGCAAGAACACAAGGGAAGGAATGGGAAGAGAGGCGGGTGAGTGAGATAGAGGAGGGAGCGGCGGCATAGGCGGAGTGAGGTGCTGGTTGTCCCGCCAGGAGCCCCGGCTGCCAGGCTTGGGGGGAAGAATTCGCTGCATTGATGGGTTGGGACGAGTGTTGATGGGCGGCGGGGAGGAGACAGATGCTGCTGCAGTGGAGAAGAGGGGGAGGGGGAGGGGGAGGGGAAAGGGGAAGGGGAAGGGGAAAAAGCAAGAACACAAGGGAAGGAATGGGAAGAGAGGCGGGTGAGTGAGATAGAGGAGGGAGCGGCGGCATAGGCGGAGTGAGGTGCTGGTTGTCCCGCCAGGAGCCCCGGCTGCCAGGCTTGGGGGGAAGAATTCGCTGCATTGATGGGTTGGGACGAGTGTTGATGGGCGGCGGGGAGGAGACAGATGCTGCTGCAGTGGAGAAGAGGGGGAGGGGGAGGGGGAGGGGAAAGGGGAAGGGGAAGGGGAAAAAGCAAGAACACAAGGGAAGGAATGGGAAGAGAGGCGGGTGAGTGAGATAGAGGAGGGAGCGGCGGCATAGGCGGAGTGAGGTGCTGGTTGTCCCGCCAGGAGCCCCGGCTGCCAGGCTTGGGGGGAAGAATTCGCTGCATTGATGGGTTGGGACGAGTGTTGATGGGCGGCGGGGAGGAGACAGATGCTGCTGCAGTGGAGAAGAGGGGGAGGGGGAGGGGGAGGGGAAAGGGGAAGGGGAAGGGGAAAAAGCAAGAACACAAGGGAAGGAATGGGAAGAGAGGCGGGTGAGTGAGATAGAGGAGGGAGCGGCGGCATAGGCGGAGTGAGGTGCTGGTTGTCCCGCCAGGAGCCCCGGCTGCCAGGCTTGGGGGGAAGAATTCGCTGCATTGATGGGTTGGGACGAGTGTTGATGGGCGGCGGGGAGGAGACAGATGCTGCTGCAGTGGAGAAGAGGGGGAGGGGGAGGGGGAGGGGAAAGGGGAAGGGGAAGGGGAAAAAGCAAGAACACAAGGGAAGGAATGGGAAGAGAGGCGGGTGAGTGAGATAGAGGAGGGAGCGGCGGCATAGGCGGAGTGAGGTGCTGGTTGTCCCGCCAGGAGCCCCGGCTGCCAGGCTTGGGGGGAAGAATTCGCTGCATTGATGGGTTGGGACGAGTGTTGATGGGCGGCGGGGAGGAGACAGATGCTGCTGCAGTGGAGAAGAGGGGGAGGGGGAGGGGGAGGGGAAAGGGGAAGGGGAAGGGGAAAAAGCAAGAACACAAGGGAAGGAATGGGAAGAGAGGCGGGTGAGTGAGATAGAGGAGGGAGCGGCGGCATAGGCGGAGTGAGGTGCTGGTTGTCCCGCCAGGAGCCCCGGCTGCCAGGCTTGGGGGGAAGAATTCGCTGCATTGATGGGTTGGGACGAGTGTTGATGGGCGGCGGGGAGGAGACAGATGCTGCTGCAGTGGAGAAGAGGGGGAGGGGGAGGGGGAGGGGAAAGGGGAAGGGGAAGGGGAAAAAGCAAGAACACAAGGGAAGGAATGGGAAGAGAGGCGGGTGAGTGAGATAGAGGAGGGAGCGGCGGCATAGGCGGAGTGAGGTGCTGGTTGTCCCGCCAGGAGCCCCGGCTGCCAGGCTTGGGGGGAAGAATTCGCTGCATTGATGGGTTGGGACGAGTGTTGATGGGCGGCGGGGAGGAGACAGATGCTGCTGCAGTGGAGAAGAGGGGGAGGGGGAGGGGGAGGGGAAAGGGGAAGGGGAAGGGGAAAAAGCAAGAACACAAGGGAAGGAATGGGAAGAGAGGCGGGTGAGTGAGATAGAGGAGGGAGCGGCGGCATAGGCGGAGTGAGGTGCTGGTTGTCCCGCCAGGAGCCCCGGCTGCCAGGCTTGGGGGGAAGAATTCGCTGCATTGATGGGTTGGGACGAGTGTTGATGGGCGGCGGGGAGGAGACAGATGCTGCTGCAGTGGAGAAGAGGGGGAGGGGGAGGGGGAGGGGAAAGGGGAAGGGGAAGGGGAAAAAGCAAGAACACAAGGGAAGGAATGGGAAGAGAGGCGGGTGAGTGAGATAGAGGAGGGAGCGGCGGCATAGGCGGAGTGAGGTGCTGGTTGTCCCGCCAGGAGCCCCGGCTGCCAGGCTTGGGGGGAAGAATTCGCTGCATTGATGGGTTGGGACGAGTGTTGATGGGCGGCGGGGAGGAGACAGATGCTGCTGCAGTGGAGAAGAGGGGGAGGGGGAGGGGGAGGGGAAAGGGGAAGGGGAAGGGGAAAAAGCAAGAACACAAGGGAAGGAATGGGAAGAGAGGCGGGTGAGTGAGATAGAGGAGGGAGCGGCGGCATAGGCGGAGTGAGGTGCTGGTTGTCCCGCCAGGAGCCCCGGCTGCCAGGCTTGGGGGGAAGAATTCGCTGCATTGATGGGTTGGGACGAGTGTTGATGGGCGGCGGGGAGGAGACAGATGCTGCTGCAGTGGAGAAGAGGGGGAGGGGGAGGGGGAGGGGAAAGGGGAAGGGGAAGGGGAAAAAGCAAGAACACAAGGGAAGGAATGGGAAGAGAGGCGGGTGAGTGAGATAGAGGAGGGAGCGGCGGCATAGGCGGAGTGAGGTGCTGGTTGTCCCGCCAGGAGCCCCGGCTGCCAGGCTTGGGGGGAAGAATTCGCTGCATTGATGGGTTGGGACGAGTGTTGATGGGCGGCGGGGAGGAGACAGATGCTGCTGCAGTGGAGAAGAGGGGGAGGGGGAGGGGGAGGGGAAAGGGGAAGGGGAAGGGGAAAAAGCAAGAACACAAGGGAAGGAATGGGAAGAGAGGCGGGTGAGTGAGATAGAGGAGGGAGCGGCGGCATAGGCGGAGTGAGGTGCTGGTTGTCCCGCCAGGAGCCCCGGCTGCCAGGCTTGGGGGGAAGAATTCGCTGCATTGATGGGTTGGGACGAGTGTTGATGGGCGGCGGGGAGGAGACAGATGCTGCTGCAGTGGAGAAGAGGGGGAGGGGGAGGGGGAGGGGAAAGGGGAAGGGGAAGGGGAAAAAGCAAGAACACAAGGGAAGGAATGGGAAGAGAGGCGGGTGAGTGAGATAGAGGAGGGAGCGGCGGCATAGGCGGAGTGAGGTGCTGGTTGTCCCGCCAGGAGCCCCGGCTGCCAGGCTTGGGGGGAAGAATTCGCTGCATTGATGGGTTGGGACGAGTGTTGATGGGCGGCGGGGAGGAGACAGATGCTGCTGCAGTGGAGAAGAGGGGGAGGGGGAGGGGGAGGGGAAAGGGGAAGGGGAAGGGGAAAAAGCAAGAACACAAGGGAAGGAATGGGAAGAGAGGCGGGTGAGTGAGATAGAGGAGGGAGCGGCGGCATAGGCGGAGTGAGGTGCTGGTTGTCCCGCCAGGAGCCCCGGCTGCCAGGCTTGGGGGGAAGAATTCGCTGCATTGATGGGTTGGGACGAGTGTTGATGGGCGGCGGGGAGGAGACAGATGCTGCTGCAGTGGAGAAGAGGGGGAGGGGGAGGGGGAGGGGAAAGGGGAAGGGGAAGGGGAAAAAGCAAGAACACAAGGGAAGGAATGGGAAGAGAGGCGGGTGAGTGAGATAGAGGAGGGAGCGGCGGCATAGGCGGAGTGAGGTGCTGGTTGTCCCGCCAGGAGCCCCGGCTGCCAGGCTTGGGGGGAAGAATTCGCTGCATTGATGGGTTGGGACGAGTGTTGATGGGCGGCGGGGAGGAGACAGATGCTGCTGCAGTGGAGAAGAGGGGGAGGGGGAGGGGGAGGGGAAAGGGGAAGGGGAAGGGGAAAAAGCAAGAACACAAGGGAAGGAATGGGAAGAGAGGCGGGTGAGTGAGATAGAGGAGGGAGCGGCGGCATAGGCGGAGTGAGGTGCTGGTTGTCCCGCCAGGAGCCCCGGCTGCCAGGCTTGGGGGGAAGAATTCGCTGCATTGATGGGTTGGGACGAGTGTTGATGGGCGGCGGGGAGGAGACAGATGCTGCTGCAGTGGAGAAGAGGGGGAGGGGGAGGGGGAGGGGAAAGGGGAAGGGGAAGGGGAAAAAGCAAGAACACAAGGGAAGGAATGGGAAGAGAGGCGGGTGAGTGAGATAGAGGAGGGAGCGGCGGCATAGGCGGAGTGAGGTGCTGGTTGTCCCGCCAGGAGCCCCGGCTGCCAGGCTTGGGGGGAAGAATTCGCTGCATTGATGGGTTGGGACGAGTGTTGATGGGCGGCGGGGAGGAGACAGATGCTGCTGCAGTGGAGAAGAGGGGGAGGGGGAGGGGGAGGGGAAAGGGGAAGGGGAAGGGGAAAAAGCAAGAACACAAGGGAAGGAATGGGAAGAGAGGCGGGTGAGTGAGATAGAGGAGGGAGCGGCGGCATAGGCGGAGTGAGGTGCTGGTTGTCCCGCCAGGAGCCCCGGCTGCCAGGCTTGGGGGGAAGAATTCGCTGCATTGATGGGTTGGGACGAGTGTTGATGGGCGGCGGGGAGGAGACAGATGCTGCTGCAGTGGAGAAGAGGGGGAGGGGGAGGGGGAGGGGAAAGGGGAAGGGGAAGGGGAAAAAGCAAGAACACAAGGGAAGGAATGGGAAGAGAGGCGGGTGAGTGAGATAGAGGAGGGAGCGGCGGCATAGGCGGAGTGAGGTGCTGGTTGTCCCGCCAGGAGCCCCGGCTGCCAGGCTTGGGGGGAAGAATTCGCTGCATTGATGGGTTGGGACGAGTGTTGATGGGCGGCGGGGAGGAGACAGATGCTGCTGCAGTGGAGAAGAGGGGGAGGGGGAGGGGGAGGGGAAAGGGAAGGGGAAGGGGAAAAAGCAAGAACACAAGGGAAGGAATGGGAAGAGAGGCGGGTGAGTGAGATAGAGGAGGGAGCGGCGGCATAGGCGGAGTGAGGTGCTGGTTGTCCCGCCAGGAGCCCCGGCTGCCAGGCTTGGGGGGAAGAATTCGCTGCATTGATGGGTTGGGACGAGTGTTGATGGGCGGCGGGGAGGAGACAGATGCTGCTGCAGTGGAGAAGAGGGGGAGGGGGAGGGGGAGGGGAAAGGGGAAGGGGAAGGGGAAAAAGCAAGAACACAAGGGAAGGAATGGGAAGAGAGGCGGGTGAGTGAGATAGAGGAGGGAGCGGCGGCATAGGCGGAGTGAGGTGCTGGTTGTCCCGCCAGGAGCCCCGGCTGCCAGGCTTGGGGGGAAGAATTCGCTGCATTGATGGGTTGGGACGAGTGTTGATGGGCGGCGGGGAGGAGACAGATGCTGCTGCAGTGGAGAAGAGGGGGAGGGGGAGGGGGAGGGGAAAGGGGAAGGGGAAGGGGAAAAAGCAAGAACACAAGGGAAGGAATGGGAAGAGAGGCGGGTGAGTGAGATAGAGGAGGGAGCGGCGGCATAGGCGGAGTGAGGTGCTGGTTGTCCCGCCAGGAGCCCCGGCTGCCAGGCTTGGGGGGAAGAATTCGCTGCATTGATGGGTTGGGACGAGTGTTGATGGGCGGCGGGGAGGAGACAGATGCTGCTGCAGTGGAGAAGAGGGGGAGGGGGAGGGGGAGGGGAAAGGGGAAGGGGAAGGGGAAAAAGCAAGAACACAAGGGAAGGAATGGGAAGAGAGGCGGGTGAGTGAGATAGAGGAGGGAGCGGCGGCATAGGCGGAGTGAGGTGCTGGTTGTCCCGCCAGGAGCCCCGGCTGCCAGGCTTGGGGGGAAGAATTCGCTGCATTGATGGGTTGGGACGAGTGTTGATGGGCGGCGGGGAGGAGACAGATGCTGCTGCAGTGGAGAAGAGGGGGAGGGGGAGGGGGAGGGGAAAGGGGAAGGGGAAGGGGAAAAGCAAGAACACAAGGGAAGGAATGGGAAGAGAGGCGGGTGAGTGAGATAGAGGAGGGAGCGGCGGCATAGGCGGAGTGAGGTGCTGGTTGTCCCGCCAGGAGCCCCGGCTGCCAGGCTTGGGGGGAAGAATTCGCTGCATTGATGGGTTGGGACGAGTGTTGATGGGCGGCGGGGAGGAGACAGATGCTGCTGCAGTGGAGAAGAGGGGGAGGGGGAGGGGGAGGGGAAAGGGGAAGGGGAAGGGGAAAAAGCAAGAACACAAGGGAAGGAATGGGAAGAGAGGCGGGTGAGTGAGATAGAGGAGGGAGCGGCGGCATAGGCGGAGTGAGGTGCTGGTTGTCCCGCCAGGAGCCCCGGCTGCCAGGCTTGGGGGGAAGAATTCGCTGCATTGATGGGTTGGGACGAGTGTTGATGGGCGGCGGGGAGGAGGACAGATGCTGCTGCAGTGGAGAAGAGGGGGAGGGGGAGGGGGAGGGGAAAGGGGAAGGGGAAGGGGAAAAAGCAAGAACACAAGGGAAGGAATGGGAAGAGAGGCGGGTGAGTGAGATAGAGGAGGGAGCGGCGGCATAGGCGGAGTGAGGTGCTGGTTGTCCCGCCAGGAGCCCCGGCTGCCAGGCTTGGGGGGAAGAATTCGCTGCATTGATGGGTTGGGACGAGTGTTGATGGGCGGCGGGGAGGAGACAGATGCTGCTGCAGTGGAGAAGAGGGGGAGGGGGAGGGGGAGGGGAAAGGGGAAGGGGAAGGGGAAAAAGCAAGAACACAAGGGAAGGAATGGGAAGAGAGGCGGGTGAGTGAGATAGAGGAGGGAGCGGCGGCATAGGCGGAGTGAGGTGCTGGTTGTCCCGCCAGGAGCCCCGGCTGCCAGGCTTGGGGGGAAGAATTCGCTGCATTGATGGGTTGGGACGAGTGTTGATGGGCGGCGGGGAGGAGACAGATGCTGCTGCAGTGGAGAAGAGGGGGAGGGGGAGGGGGAGGGGAAAGGGGAAGGGGAAGGGGAAAAAAGCAAGAACACAAGGGAAGGAATGGGAAGAGAGGCGGGTGAGTGAGATAGAGGAGGGAGCGGCGGCATAGGCGGAGTGAGGTGCTGGTTGTCCCGCCAGGAGCCCCGGCTGCCAGGCTTGGGGGGAAGAATTCGCTGCATTGATGGGTTGGGACGAGTGTTGATGGGCGGCGGGGAGGAGACAGATGCTGCTGCAGTGGAGAAGAGGGGGAGGGGGAGGGGGAGGGGAAAGGGGAAGGGGAAGGGGGAAAAAGCAAGAACACAAGGGAAGGAATGGGAAGAGAGGCGGGTGAGTGAGATAGAGGAGGGAGCGGCGGCATAGGCGGAGTGAGGTGCTGGTTGTCCCGCCAGGAGCCCCGGCTGCCAGGCTTGGGGGGAAGAATTCGCTGCATTGATGGGTTGGGACGAGTGTTGATGGGCGGCGGGGAGGAGACAGATGCTGCTGCAGTGGAGAAGAGGGGGAGGGGGAGGGGGAGGGGAAAGGGGAAGGGGAAGGGGAAAAAGCAAGAACACAAGGGAAGGAATGGGAAGAGAGGCGGGTGAGTGAGATAGAGGAGGGAGCGGCGGCATAGGCGGAGTGAGGTGCTGGTTGTCCCGCCAGGAGCCCCGGCTGCCAGGCTTGGGGGGAAGAATTCGCTGCATTGATGGGTTGGGACGAGTGTTGATGGGCGGCGGGGAGGAGACAGATGCTGCTGCAGTGGAGAAGAGGGGGAGGGGGAGGGGGAGGGGAAAGGGGAAGGGGAAGGGGAAAAAGCAAGAACACAAGGGAAGGAATGGGAAGAGAGGCGGGTGAGTGAGATAGAGGAGGGAGCGGCGGCATAGGCGGAGTGAGGTGCTGGTTGTCCCGCCAGGAGCCCCGGCTGCCAGGCTTGGGGGGAAGAATTCGCTGCATTGATGGGTTGGGACGAGTGTTGATGGGCGGCGGGGAGGAGACAGATGCTGCTGCAGTGGAGAAGAGGGGGAGGGGGAGGGGGAGGGGAAAGGGGAAGGGGAAGGGGAAAAAGCAAGAACACAAGGGAAGGAATGGGAAGAGAGGCGGGTGAGTGAGATAGAGGAGGGAGCGGCGGCATAGGCGGAGTGAGGTGCTGGTTGTCCCGCCAGGAGCCCCGGCTGCCAGGCTTGGGGGGAAGAATTCGCTGCATTGATGGGTTGGGACGAGTGTTGATGGGCGGCGGGGAGGAGACAGATGCTGCTGCAGTGGAGAAGAGGGGGAGGGGGAGGGGGAGGGGAAAGGGGAAGGGGAAGGGGAAAAAGCAAGAACACAAGGGAAGGAATGGGAAGAGAGGCGGGTGAGTGAGATAGAGGAGGGAGCGGCGGCATAGGCGGAGTGAGGTGCTGGTTGTCCCGCCAGGAGCCCCGGCTGCCAGGCTTGGGGGGAAGAATTCGCTGCATTGATGGGTTGGGACGAGTGTTGATGGGCGGCGGGGAGGAGACAGATGCTGCTGCAGTGGAGAAGAGGGGGAGGGGGAGGGGGAGGGGAAAGGGGAAGGGGAAGGGGAAAAGCAAGAACACAAGGGAAGGAATGGGAAGAGAGGCGGGTGAGTGAGATAGAGGAGGGAGCGGCGGCATAGGCGGAGTGAGGTGCTGGTTGTCCCGCCAGGAGCCCCGGCTGCCAGGCTTGGGGGGAAGAATTCGCTGCATTGATGGGTTGGGACGAGTGTTGATGGGCGGCGGGGAGGAGACAGATGCTGCTGCAGTGGAGAAGAGGGGGAGGGGGAGGGGGAGGGGAAAGGGGAAGGGGAAGGGGAAAAAGCAAGAACACAAGGGAAGGAATGGGAAGAGAGGCGGGTGAGTGAGATAGAGGAGGGAGCGGCGGCATAGGCGGAGTGAGGTGCTGGTTGTCCCGCCAGGAGCCCGGCTGCCAGGCTTGGGGGGAAGAATTCGCTGCATTGATGGGTTGGGACGAGTGTTGATGGGCGGCGGGGAGGAGACAGATGCTGCTGCAGTGGAGAAGAGGGGGAGGGGGAGGGGGAGGGGAAAGGGGAAGGGGAAGGGGAAAAAGCAAGAACACAAGGGAAGGAATGGGAAGAGAGGCGGGTGAGTGAGATAGAGGAGGGAGCGGCGGCATAGGCGGAGTGAGGTGCTGGTTGTCCCGCCAGGAGCCCCGGCTGCCAGGCTTGGGGGGAAGAATTCGCTGCATTGATGGGTTGGGACGAGTGTTGATGGGCGGCGGGGAGGAGACAGATGCTGCTGCAGTGGAGAAGAGGGGGAGGGGGAGGGGGAGGGGAAAGGGGAAGGGGAAGGGGAAAAAGCAAGAACACAAGGGAAGGAATGGGAAGAGAGGCGGGTGTGAGTGAGATAGAGGAGGGAGCGGCGGCATAGGCGGGAGTGAGGTGCTGGTTGTCCCGCCAGGAGCCCCGGCTGCCAGGCTTGGGGGGAAGAATTCGCTGCATTGATGGGTTGGGACGAGTGTTGATGGGCGGCGGGGAGGAGACAGATGCTGCTGCAGTGGAGAAGAGGGGGAGGGGGAGGGGGAGGGGAAAGGGGAAGGGGAAGGGGAAAAAGCAAGAACACAAGGGAAGGAATGGGAAGAGAGGCGGGTGAGTGAGATAGAGGAGGGAGCGGCGGCATAGGCGGAGTGAGGTGCTGGTTGTCCCGCCAGGAGCCCCGGCTGCCAGGCTTGGGGGGAAGAATTCGCTGCATTGATGGGTTGGGACGAGTGTTGATGGGCGGCGGGGAGGAGACAGATGCTGCTGCAGTGGAGAAGAGGGGGAGGGGGAGGGGGAGGGGAAAGGGGAAGGGGAAGGGGAAAAAGCAAGAACACAAGGGAAGGAATGGGAAGAGAGGCGGGTGAGTGAGATAGAGGAGGGAGCGGCGGCATAGGCGGAGTGAGGTGCTGGTTGTCCCGCCAGGAGCCCCGGCTGCCAGGCTTGGGGGGAAGAATTCGCTGCATTGATGGGTTGGGACGAGTGTTGATGGGCGGCGGGGAGGAGACAGATGCTGCTGCAGTGGAGAAGAGGGGGAGGGGGGAGGGGGAGGGGAAAGGGGAAGGGGAAGGGGAAAAAGCAAGAACACAAGGGAAGGAATGGGAAGAGAGGCGGGGTGAGTGAGATAGAGGAGGGAGCGGCGGCATAGGCGGAGTGAGGTGCTGGTTGTCCCGCCAGGAGCCCCGGCTGCCAGGCTTGGGGGGAAGAATTCGCTGCATTGATGGGTTGGGAACGAGTGTTGATGGGCGGCGGGGAGGAGACAGATGCTGCTGCAGTGGAGAAGAGGGGGAGGGGGAGGGGGAGGGGAAAGGGGAAGGGGAAGGGGAAAAAGCAAGAACACAAGGGAAGGAATGGGAAGAGAGGCGGGTGAGTGAGATAGAGGAGGGAGCGGCGGCATAGGCGGAGTGAGGTGCTGGTTGTCCCGCCAGGAGCCCCGGCTGCCAGGCTTGGGGGGAAGAATTCGCTGCATTGATGGGTTGGGACGAGTGTTGATGGGCGGCGGGGAGGAGACAGATGCTGCTGCAGTGGAGAAGAGGGGGAGGGGGAGGGGGAGGGGAAAGGGGAAGGGGAAGGGGAAAAAGCAAGAACACAAGGGAAGGAATGGGAAGAGAGGCGGGTGAGTGAGATAGAGGAGGGAGCGGCGGCATAGGCGGAGTGAGGTGCTGGTTGTCCCGCCAGGAGCCCCGGCTGCCAGGCTTGGGGGGAAGAATTCGCTGCATTGATGGGTTGGGACGAGTGTTGATGGGCGGCGGGGAGGAGACAGATGCTGCTGCAGTGGAGAAGAGGGGGAGGGGGAGGGGGAGGGGAAAGGGGAAGGGGAAGGGGAAAAAGCAAGAACACAAGGGAAGGAATGGGAAGAGAGGCGGGTGAGTGAGATAGAGGAGGGAGCGGCGGCATAGGCGGAGTGAGGTGCTGGTTGTCCCGCCAGGAGCCCCGGCTGCCAGGCTTGGGGGGAAGAATTCGCTGCATTGATGGGTTGGGACGAGTGTTGATGGGCGGCGGGGAGGAGACAGATGCTGCTGCAGTGGAGAAGAGGGGGAGGGGGAGGGGGAGGGGAAAGGGGAAGGGGAAGGGGAAAAAGCAAGAACACAAGGGAAGGAATGGGAAGAGAGGCGGGTGAGTGAGATAGAGGAGGGAGCGGCGGCATAGGCGGAGTGAGGTGCTGGTTGTCCCGCCAGGAGCCCCGGCTGCCAGGCTTGGGGGGAAGAATTCGCTGCATTGATGGGTTGGGACGAGTGTTGATGGGCGGCGGGGAGGAGACAGATGCTGCCTGCAGTGGAGAAGAGGGGGAGGGGGAGGGGGAGGGGAAAGGGGAAGGGGAAGGGGAAAAAGCAAGAACACAAGGGAAGGAATGGGAAGAGAGGCGGGTGGTGAGTGAGATAGAGGAGGGAGCGGCGGCATAGGCGGAGTGAGGTGCTGGTTGTCCCGCCAGGAGCCCCGGCTGCCAGGCTTGGGGGGAAGAATTCGCTGCATTGATGGGTTGGGACGAGTGTTGATGGGCGGCGGGGAGGAGACAGATGCTGCTGCAGTGGAGAAGAGGGGGAGGGGGAGGGGGAGGGGAAAGGGGAAGGGGAAGGTGGAAAAAGCAAGAACACAAGGGAAGGAATGGGAAGAGAGGCGGGGTGAGTGAGATAGAGGAGGGAGCGGCGGCATAGGCGGAGTGAGGTGCTGGTTGTCCCGCCAGGAGCCCCGGCTGCCAGGCTTGGGGGGAAGAATTCGCTGCATTGATGGGTTGGGACGAGTGTGATGGGCGGCGGGGAGGAGACAGATGCTGCTGCAGTGGAGAAGAGGGGGAGGGGGAGGGGGAGGGGAAAGGGGAAGGGGAAGGGGAAAAAGCAAGAACACAAGGGAAGGAATGGGAAGAGAGGCGGGTGAGTGAGATAGAGGAGGGAGCGGCGGCATAGGCGGAGTGAGGTGCTGGTTGTCCCGCCAGGAGCCCCGGCTGCCAGGCTTGGGGGGAAGAATTCGCTGCATTGATGGGTTGGGACGAGTGTTGATGGGCGGCGGGGAGGAGACAGATGCTGCTGCAGTGGAGAAGAGGGGGAGGGGGAGGGGGAGGGGAAAGGGGAAGGGGAAGGGGAAAAAGCAAGAACACAAGGGAAGGAATGGGAAGAGAGGCGGGTGAGTGAGATAGAGGATGGGAGCGGCGGCATAGGCGGAGTGAGGTGCTGGTTGTCCCGCCAGGAGCCCCGGCTGCCAGGCTTGGGGGGAAGAATTCGCTGCATTGATGGGTTGGGACGAGTGTTGATGGGCGGCGGGGAGGAGACAGATGCTGCTGCAGTGGAGAAGAGGGGGAGGGGGAGGGGGAGGGGAAAGGGGAAGGGGAAGGGGAAAAAGCAAGAACACAAGGGAAGGAATGGGAAGAGAGGCGGTGTGAGTGAGATAGAGGAGGGAGCGGCGGCATAGGCGGAGTGAGGTGCTGGTTGTCCCGCCAGGAGCCCCGGCTGCCAGGCTTGGGGGGAAGAATTCGCTGCATTGATGGGTTGGGACGAGTGTTGATGGGCGGCGGGGAGGAGACAGATGCTGCTGCAGTGGAGAAGAGGGGGAGGGGGAGGGGGAGGGGAAAGGGGAAGGGGAAGGGGAAAAAGCAAGAACACAAGGGAAGGAATGGGAAGAGAGGCGGGGTGAGTGAGATAGAGGAGGGGAGCGGCGGCATAGGCGGAGTGAGGTGCTGGTTGTCCCGCCAGGAGCCCCGGCTGCCAGGCTTGGGGGGAAGAATTCGCTGCATTGATGGGTTGGGACGAGTGTTGATGGGCGGCGGGGAGGAGACAGATGCTGCTGCAGTGGAGAAGAGGGGGAGGGGGAGGGGGAGGGGAAAGGGGAAGGGGAAGGTGGAAAAAGCAAGAACACAAGGGAAGGAATGGGAAGAGAGGCGGGTGAGTGAGATAGAGGAGGGAGCGGCGGCATAGGCGGAGTGAGGTGCTGGTTGTCCCGCAGGAGCCCCGGCTGCCAGGCTTGGGGGGAAGAATTCGCTGCATTGATGGGTTGGGACGAGTGTTGATGGGCGGCGGGGAGGAGACAGATGCTGCTGCAGTGGAGAAGAGGGGGAGGGGGAGGGGGAGGGGAAAGGGGAAGGGGAAGGGGAAAAAGCAAGAACACAAGGGAAGGAATGGGAAGAGAGGCGGGTGAGTGAGATAGAGGAGGAGCGGCGGATAGGCGGGAGTGAGGTGCTGGTTGTCCCGCCAGGAGCCCCGGCTGCCAGGCTTGGGGGGAAGAATTCGCTGCATTGATGGGTTGGGACGAGTGTTGATGGGCGGCGGGGAGGAGACAGATGCTGCTGCAGTGGAGAAGAGGGGGAGGGGAGGGGGAGGGGAAAGGGGAAGGGGAAGGGGAAAAAGCAAGAACACAAGGGAAGGAATGGGAAGAGAGGCGGGTGAGTGAGATAGAGGAGGGAGCGGCGGCATAGGCGGAGTGAGGTGCTGGTTGTCCCGCCAGGAGCCCCGGCTGCCAGCTTGGGGGGAAGAATTCGCTGCATTGATGGGTTGGGACGAGTGTTGTATGGGCGGCGGGGAGGAGACAGATGCTGCTGCAGTGGAGAAGAGGGGGAGGGGGAGGGGGAGGGGAAAGGGGAAGGGGAAGGGGAAAAAGCAAGAACACAAGGAAGGAATGGGAAGAGAGGCGGGTGAGTGAGATAGAGGAGGGAGCGGCGGCATAGGCGGAGTGAGGTGCTGGTTGTCCCGCCAGGAGCCCCGGCTGCCAGGCTTGGGGGAAGAATTCGCGCATTGATGGGTTGGGACGAGTGTTGATGGGCGGCGGGGAGGAGACAGATGCTGCTGCAGTGGAGAAGAGGGGGAGGGGGAGGGGGAGGGGAAAGGGGAAGGGGAAGGGGAAAAAGCAAGAACACAAGGGAAGGAATGGGAAGAGAGGCGGGGTGAGTGAGATAGAGGAGGGAGCGGCGGCATAGGCGGAGTGAGGTGCTGGTTGTCCCGCCAGGAGCCCCGGCTGCCAGGCTTGGGGGGAAGAATTCGCTGCATTGATGGGTTGGGACGAGTGTTGATGGGCGGCGGGGAGGAGACAGATGCTGCTGCAGTGGAGAAGAGGGGGAGGGGGAGGGGGAGGGGAAAGGGGAAGGGGAAGGGGAAAAAGCAAGAACACAAGGGAAGGAATGGGAAGAGAGGCGGGTGAGTGAGATAGAGGAGGGAGCGGCGGCATAGGCGGAGTGAGGTGCTGGTTGTCCCGCCAGGAGCCCCGGCTGCCAGGCTTGGGGGGAAGAATTCGCTGCATTGATGGGTTGGGACGAGTGTTGATGGGCGGCGGGGAGGAGACAGATGCTGCTGCAGTGGAGAAGAGGGGGAGGGGGAGGGGGAGGGGAAAAGGGAAGGGGAAGGGGAAAAAGCAAGAACACAAGGGAAGGAATGGGAAGAGAGGCGGGTGAGTGAGATAGAGGAGGGAGCGGCGGCATAGGCGGAGTGAGGTGCTGGTTGTCCCGCCAGGAGCCCCGGCTGCCAGGCTTGGGGGGAAGAATTCGCTGCATTGATGGGTTGGGACGAGTGTTGATGGGCGGCGGGAGGAGACAGATGCTGCTGCAGTGGAGAAGAGGGGGAGGGGGAGGGGGAGGGGAAAGGGGAAGGGGAAGGGAAAAAGCAAGAACACAAGGGAAAGGAATGGGAAGAGAGGCGGTGTGAGTGAGATAGAGGAGGGAGCGGGCGGCATAGGCGGAAGTGAGGTGCTGGTTGTCCGCCAGGAGGCCGGCTGCCAGGCTTGGGGGAAGAATTCGCTGCATTGATGGGTTGGGACGAGTGTTGATGGGCGGCGGGGAGGAGACAGATGCTGCGCATTGGAGAAGAGGGGAGGGGGAGGGGGAGGGGAAAGGGGAAGGGGAAGGGGAAAAAGCAAGAACACAAGGGAAGGAATGGGAAGAGAGGGCGGCGTGAGTGAGATAGAGGAAGGAGCGGCGGCATAGGCGGAGTGAGGGCTGGTTGTCCCCCGCCAGGAGCCTCGGCTGCCAGGCTTGGGGGGAAGAATTCGCTGCATTGATGGGTTTGGGACGAGTGTTGCTGGGCGGCGGGGAGGAGACAGATGCTGCTGCAGTGGAGAAGAGGGGGAGGGGGAGGGGGAGGGGAAAGGGGAAGGGGAAGGGGAAAAAGCAAGAACACAAGGGAAGGAATGGGAAGAGAGGCGGGTGAGTGAGATAGAGGAGGGAGCGGCGGCATAGGCGGAGTGAGGTGCTGGTTGTCCCGCCAGGAGCCCCGGCTGCCAGGCTTGGGGGGAAGAATTCGCTGCATTGATGGGTTGGGACGAGTGTTGATGGGCGGCGGGGAGGAGACAGATGCTGCTGCAGTGGAGAAGAGGGGGAGGGGGAGGGGGAGGGGAAAGGGGAAGGGGAAGGGGAAAAAGCAAGAACACAAGGGAAGGAATGGGAAGAGAGGGGGAGTGAGTGAGATAGAGGAGGGAGCGGCGGCATAGGCGGAGTGAGGTGCTGGTTGTCCCGCCAGGAGCCCCGGCTGCCAGGCTTGGGGGAAGAATTCGCTGCATTGATGGGTTGGGACGAGTGTTGATGGGCGGCGGGGAGGAGACAGATGCTGCTGCAGTGGAGAAGAGGGGGAGGGGGGAGGGGGGAGGGGGAAGGGGAAAGGGGAAGGGGAAGGGGAAAAAGCAAGAACACAAGGGAAGGAATGGGAAGAGAGGCGGGTGAGTGAGATAGAGGAGGGAGCGGCGGCATAGGCGGAGTGAGGTGCTGGTTGTCCCGCCAGGAGCCCCGGCTGCCAGGCTTGGGGGGAAGAATTCGCTGCATTGATGGGTTGGGACGAGTGTTGATGGGCGGCGGGGAGGAGACAGATGCTGCTGCAGTGGAGAAGAGGGGGAGGGGGAGGGGGAGGGGAAAGGGGAAGGGGAAGGGGGGAAAAAGCAAGAACACAAGGGAAGGAATGGGAAGAGAGGCGGGTGAGTGAGATAGAGGAGGGAGCGGCGGCATAGGCGGAGTGAGGTGCTGGTTGTCCCGCCAGGAGCCCCGGCTGCCAGGCTTGGGGGGAAGAATTCGCTGCATTGATGGGTTGGGACGAGTGTTGATGGGCGGCGGGGAGGAGACAGATGCTGCTGCAGTGGAGAAGAGGGGGAGGGGGAGGGGGAGGGGAAAGGGGAGGGGAAGGGGAAGGGGAAAAAGCAAGAACACAAGGGAAGGAATGGGAAGAGAGGCGGGTGAGTGAGATAGAGGAGGGAGCGGCGGCATAGGCGGAGTGAGGTGCTGGTTGTCCCGCCAGGAGCCCCGGCTGCCAGGCTTGGGGGGAAGAATTCGCTGCATTGATGGGTTGGGACGAGTGTTGATGGGCGGCGGGGAGGAGACAGATGCTGCTGCAGTGGAGAAGAGGGGGAGGGGGAGGGGGAGGGGAAAGGGGAAGGGGAAGGGGAAAAAGCAAGAACACAAGGGAAGGAATGGGAAGAGAGGCGGGTGAGTGAGATAGAGGAGGGAGCGGCGGCATAGGCGGAGTGAGGTGCTGGTTGTCCCGCCAGGAGCCCCGGCTGCCAGGCTTGGGGGGAAGAATTCGCTGCATTGATGGGTTGGGACGAGTGTTGATGGGCGGCGGGGAGGAGACAGATGCTGCTGCAGTGGAGAAGAGGGGGAGGGGGAGGGGGGAGGGGAAAGGGGAAGGGGAAGGGGAAAAAGCAAGAACACAAGGGAAGGAATGGGAAGAGAGGCGGGTGAGTGAGATAGAGGAGGGAGCGGCGGCATAGGCGGAGTGAGGTGCTGGTTGTCCCGCCAGGAGCCCCGGCTGCCAGGCTTGGGGGGAAGAATTCGCTGCATTGATGGGTTGGGACGAGTGTTGATGGGCGGCGGGGAGGAGACAGATGCTGCTGCAGTGGAGAAGAGGGGGAGGGGGAGGGGGAGGGGAAAGGGGAAGGGGAAGGGGAAAAAGCAAGAACACAAGGGAAGGAATGGGAAGAGAGGCGGGTGAGTGAGATAGAGGAGGGAGCGGCGGCATAGGCGGAGTGAGGTGCTGGTTGTCCCGCCAGGAGCCCCGGCTGCCAGGCTTGGGGGGAAGAATTCGCTGCATTGATGGGTTGGGACGAGTGTTGATGGGCGGCGGGGAGGAGACAGATGCTGCTGCAGTGGAGAAGAGGGGGAGGGGGAGGGGGAGGGGAAAGGGGAAGGGGAAGGGGAAAAAGCAAGAACACAAGGGAAGGAATGGGAAGAGAGGCGGGTGAGTGAGATAGAGGAGGGAGCGGCGGCATAGGCGGAGTGAGGTGCTGGTTGTCCCGCCAGGAGCCCCGGCTGCCAGGCTTGGGGGGAAGAATTCGCTGCATTGATGGGTTGGGACGAGTGTTGATGGGCGGCGGGGAGGAGACAGATGCTGCTGCAGTGGAGAAGAGGGGGAGGGGGAGGGGGAGGGGAAAGGGGAAGGGGAAGGGGAAAAAGCAAGAACACAAGGGAAGGAATGGGAAGAGAGGCGGGTGAGTGAGATAGAGGAGGGAGCGGCGGCATAGGCGGAGTGAGGTGCTGGTTGTCCCGCCAGGAGCCCCGGCTGCCAGGCTTGGGGGGAAGAATTCGCTGCATTGATGGGTTGGGACGAGTGTTGATGGGCGGCGGGGAGGAGACAGATGCTGCTGCAGTGGAGAAGAGGGGGAGGGGGAGGGGGAGGGGAAAGGGGAAGGGGAAGGGGAAAAAGCAAGAACACAAGGGAAGGAATGGGAAGAGAGGCGGGTGAGTGAGATAGAGGAGGGAGCGGCGGCATAGGCGGAGTGAGGTGCTGGTTGTCCCGCCAGGAGCCCCGGCTGCCAGGCTTGGGGGGAAGAATTCGCTGCATTGATGGGTTGGGACGAGTGTTGATGGGCGGCGGGGAGGAGACAGATGCTGCTGCAGTGGAGAAGAGGGGGAGGGGGAGGGGGAGGGGAAAGGGGAAGGGGAAGGGGAAAAAGCAAGAACACAAGGGAAGGAATGGGAAGAGAGGCGGGTGAGTGAGATAGAGGAGGGAGCGGCGGCATAGGCGGAGTGAGGTGCTGGTTGTCCCGCCAGGAGCCCCGGCTGCCAGGCTTGGGGGGAAGAATTCGCTGCATTGATGGGTTGGACGGACGAGTGTTGATGGGCGGCGGGGAGGAGACAGATGCTGCTGCAGTGGAGAAGAGGGGGAGGGGGAGGGGGAGGGGAAAGGGGAAGGGGAAGGGGAAAAGCAAGAACACAAGGGAAGGAATGGGTAAGAGAGGCGGGTGAGTGAGATAGAGGAGGGAGCGGCGGCATAGGCGGAGTGAGGTGCTGGTTGTCCCGCCAGGAGCCCCGGCTGCCAGGCTTGGGGGGAAGAATTCGCTGCATTGATGGGTTGGGACGAGTGTTGATGGGCGGCGGGGAGGAGACAGATGCTGCTGCAGTGGAGAAGAGGGGTGAGGGGGAGGGGGAGGGGAAAGGGGAAGGGGAAGGGGAAAAAGCAAGAACACAAGGGAAGGAATGGGAAGAGAGGCGGGTGAGTGAGATAGAGGAGGGAGCGGGCGGCATAGGCGGAGTGAGGTGCTGGTTGTCCCGCCAGGAGCCCCGGCTGCCATGCTTGGGGGGAAGAATTCGCTGCATTCGATGGGTTGGACGAGTGTTGATGGGCGGCGGGGAGGAGACAGATGCTGCTGCAGTGGAGAAAGGGGGAGGGGGAGGGTGAGGGGAAAGGTGGAAGGGGAAGGGGAAAAAAGCAAGAACACAAGGGAAGGAATGGGAAGAGAGGCGGTGTGAGGGAGATAGAGGAGGGAGCGGCGAGGCATAGGCGGAGTGAGGTGCTGGTTGTCCCGCCAGGAGCCCCGGCTGCCAGGCTTGGGGGGAAGAATTCGCGCATTGATGGGTTGGGACGAGTGTTGATGGGCGGCGGGGAGGAGACAGATGCTGCTGCAGTGGAGAAGAGGGGGAGGGGGAGGGGGAGGGGAAAGGGGAAGGGGAAGGGGAAAAAAGCAAGAAACAAGGGAAGGAATGGGAAGAGAGGCGGGGTGAGTGAGATAGAGGAAGGGAGCGGCGGCATAGGCGGAGGTGAGGTTTGCTCGGTTGTCCGCCAGGAGCCCCGGCTGCCAGGCTTGGGGGGGAAGAATTCGCTGCATTGATGGGTTGGGGACGAGTGTTGATGGGCGGCGGGAGGAGACAGATGCTGCTGCAGTGGAGAAGGAGGGGGAGGGGGAGGGGAGGGGAAGGGGAAGGGGAAGGGGAAAAAGCAAAGAACACAAGGGAAGGAATGGGAAGAGAGGCGGGTGAGTGAGATAGAGGAGGGAGCGGCGGCATAGGCGGATAGTGAGGTGCTGGTTGTCCCGCCAGGAGCCCCGGCTGCCAGGCTTGGGGGGAAGAATTCGCTGCATTGATGGGTTGGGACGAGTGTTGATGGGCGGCGGGGAGGAGACAGATGCTGCTGCAGTGGAGAAGAGGGGGAGGGGGGAGGGGGAGGGGAAAGGGGAAGGGGAAGGGAAAAAGCAAGAACACAAGGGAAGGAATGGGAAGAGAGGCGGGGTGAGTGAGATAGAGGAGGGAGCGGCGGCATAGGCGGAGTGAGGTGCTGGTTGTCCCGCCAGGAGCCCCGGCTGCCAGGCTTGGGGGAAGAATTCGCTGCATTGATGGGTTGGGACGAGTGTTGATGGGCGGCGGGGAGGAGACAGATGCTGCTGCAGTGGAGAAGAGGGGGGAGGGGGAGGGGGAGGGGAAAGGGGAAGGGGAAGGGGAAAAAGCAAGAACACAAGGGAAGGAATGGGAAGAGAGGCGGGTGAGTGAGATAGAGGAGGGAGCGGCGGGCATAGGCGGAGTGAGGTGCTGGTTGTCCCGCCAGGAGCCCCGGCTGCCAGGCTTGGGGGGAAGAATTCGCTGCATTGATGGGTTTGGGACGAGTGTTGATGGGCGGCGGGGAGGAGACAGATGCTGCTGCAGTGGAGAAGAGGGGGAGGGGGAGGGGGAGGGGAAAGGGGAAGGGGAAGGGGAAAAAGCAAGAACACAAGGGAAGGAATGGGAAGAGAGGCGGGTGAGTGAGATAGAGGAGGGAGCGGCGGCATAGGCGGAGTGAGGTGCTGGTTGTCCCGCCAGGAGCCCCGGCTGCCAGGCTTGGGGGGAAGAATTCGCTGCATTGATGGGTTGGGACGAGTGTTGATTGGGCGGCGGGAGGAGACAGATGCTGCTGCGTGGAGAAGAGGGGGAGGGGAGGGGAGGGGAAAGGGAAAGGGGAAGGGGAAAAAAGCAAGAACACAAGGGACAGGAATCGGGAAGAGAGGCGGTTGTGAGTGAGATAGAGGACGGGAGCGGCGGCATAGGCGGAAGTGAGAGTGCTGGTTGTTCCCGCCAGGAGGCCCCGGCTAGCCAGGCTTGGGGCCGGAAGAATTCGCACTGCATTGATGGTGCGTTGGGACGAGTGTTGCTGCGGCGGCGGGGAGGAGACAGATGCTGCTGCAGTGGACGAAGAGGGTGAGGGGAGGGGAGGGGAGAAAGGGAAGGTGGGAAGGGGAAAAAGCAAGAACACAAGGAAGGAATGGGAATGAGAGGCGGGTGAGTGAGATAGAGTAGGGCGCGGCGGCATAGGCGGAGGTGAGGTGCTGGTTGTCCCGCCAAGGAGCCCCGGACTGCCAGGCTTGTGGGGGAAGAATTCCGCTGCATTGATGGGTTGGAGACGAGTGTTGATGGGCGGCGGGGAGGAGACAGATGCTGCTGCAGTGGAGAAGAGGGGGAGGGGGAGGGGGAGGGGAAAGGGGAAGGGGAAGGGGAAAAAGCAAGAACACAAGGGAAGGAATGGGAAGAGAGGCGGGTGAGTGAGATAGAGGAGGGAGCGGCGGCATAGGCGGAGTGAGGTGCTGGTTGTCCCGCCAGGAGCCCCGGCTGCCAGGCTTGGGGGGAAGAATTCGCTGCATTGATGGGTTGGGACGAGTGTTGATGGGCGGCGGGGAGGAGACAGATGCTGCTGCAGTGGAGAAGAGGGGGAGGGGGAGGGGGAGGGGAAAGGGGAAGGGGAAGGGGAAAAAGCAAGAACACAAGGGAAGGAATGGGAAGAGAGGCGGGGTGAGTGAGATAGAGGAGGGAGCGGCGGCATAGGCGGAGTGAGGTGCTGGTTGTCCCGCCAGGAGCCCCGGCTGCCAGGCTTGGGGGGAAGAATTCGCTGCATTGATGGGTTGGGACGAGTGTTGATGGGCTGCGGGGAGGGAGACAGATGCTGGCTGCAGTGGAGAAGAGGGGAGGGGGAGGGGGAGGGAAAGGGGAAGGGGAATGGGAAAAAGCAAGAACACATGGAAGGAATGGGAAGAGAGGCGGGTGAGTGAGATAGAGGAGGAGCGGCGGCATAGGCGGATTGAGGTGCTGGTTGTCCCGCCAGGAGCCCGGCTGCCAGGCTTGGGGGGAAGAATTCGCTGCATTGATGGGTTGGGACGAGTGTTGATGGGCGGCGGGGAGGAGACAGATGCTGCTGCAGTGGGAATGGGGGGGAAAGGGGAGAGGGGAGTGGGAGTGAGATAGAGGCGGGAGGGGCGCCTTGGGGGGAAGGATTCGTTGCGTTGATGGGTTGGGGCGAGTGTTGATCGGGGGGGGAGACGACACTGATGCTGCTGCAAGGGGGGGAGTGGGAGCGGGAAAGGGGAGGGGGAAGGTGGGTGTGGATGGAGGAGGGGTGAAGGAGAGAAGAGGAGAGAGGATGTGGGAAACAGAGAGATGTGGGAAACAGAGGGATGTGGGAAACAGAGAGATGTGGCAGATTGTGCAGGTTAATGGGGAGGGGGTGGGAGGAAGGGGGCGAGGAGGAGAGGGAAGACTGAGCTCTGTAAGTCCTTGGGCTGCCGCTGCACACACGTGCCTGCTAGGTCACCCGGCTCACAGCACTGGACGCCACGGCACCACACAGCACTGCATTCCACCGAAATGCACCGCACTGAACCGCTAAGAACGCACCTGCAGCTGCCTGGCGAATGACCTTGAGCCGCCTCACCACCTCCTGCATACTCGGTCTGTCCTTGGGCTGCCGCTGCACACACATGGCTGCCAGGCTGCCAGGCTCACAGGCACCGCACTGCACCACACTGCACCCACTTTGCACCGCACTGGACCGCACAGAACCGCTACAAACGCACCTGCTGCTGCCTGGCGAATGACCTTGAGCCTTCGCACCACCTCCTGCATGCTCGGTCTGTCCTTGGGCTGCCGCTGCACACACATGGCTGCCAGGCTGCCAGGCTCACAGGCACCGCACTGCACCACACTGCACCCACTTTGCACCGCACTGGACCGCACAGAACCGCTACAAACGCACCTGCTGCTGCCTGGCGAATGACCTTGAGCCTTCGCACCACCTCCTGCATGCTGGGTCTGTCCTTGGGCTGCCGCTGCACACACATGGCTGTCAGGCTGCCAGGCTCACAGGCACCGCACTGCACCACACTGCACCCACTTTGCACCGCACTGGACCGCACAGAACCGCTAGGAACGCACCTGCTGCTGCCTGGCGAATGACCTTGAGCCGCCTCACCACCTCCTGCATGCTCGGTCTGTCCTTGGGCTGCCGCTGCACACACATGGCTGCCAGGCTGCCAGGCTCACAGGCACCGCACTGCACCACACTGCACCCACTTTGCACCGCACTGGACCGCACAGAACCGCTACAAACGCACCTGCTGCTGCCTGGCGAATGACCTTGAGCCTTCGCACCACCTCCTGCATGCTCGGTCTGTCCTTGGGCTGCCGCTGCACACACATGGCTGCCAGGCTCACAGGCACCGCTCTGCACCACACTGCACACACTTTGCACCGCACTGGACCGCACAGAACCGCTAGGAACGCACCTGCTGCTGCCTGGCGAATGACCTTGAGCCGCCTCACCACCTCCTGCATGCTGGGTCGGTCCTTGGGTTGCCGCTGCACACACATGGCTGCGAGGCTGGCAAATGCCTGCATGGGCTGCTGTGGGAACGCCTGGGCTAGATTGGGGTCCACCACTGCGTCTAGATTGCCGGCACAGATGGCAGGGGTCGCCTGAGGAGGGAGGGGAGGGAAAGATGGAGAGGGGAAAGAGAGCGGAGGGGAAGAAAGAGAGGGTGAGAGTTAAACCACGCGAATGCCTGCATGGGCTGCTGGGGGAACGCCTGGGCGAGATTGGGGTCAACTACGGCGTCTAGGTTGCCAGCACAGATGGCAGGAGTGGCCTGAGGAGGGAGGGGAGGGAGAGATGGAGAGTGGAAAGAGAGCGGAGGGGAAGAAAGAGAGGGTGAGAGGTAAACCACGCGAATGCCTGCATCGGCTGCTGTGGGAACGCCTGGGCTAGATTGGGGTCGACTACTGCGTCGAGATTCCCGGCACGGATGGCAGGGGTGGCCTGGGGACAGAGGGAGGGGATGGAATGGGATGGAGAGAGAAGAGGAAAACTTAGGGGCTGCTTGGGGGAACGCCTGGGCTAGATTGGGGTCGACGACTGCTAGATTGTTGGCACAGATGGTAGGGGTGGCCCGGGGACAGAGGGAGAAGATGGATTGGAAAGGGAAGCATGAAATGGAGGGAAAAAGAGCGGAATAATCAGGCCTGGGGACACAATACTAGTGCAATCATGGGTGCGAGGGAGGCTTGTTTTGAAACATATACAACCAGTGTATTCATCCACTCACCCATTTCGCCAGTGCCATTCTCTCCCCCGAATCGTCAGCTTCCTTGAGCACCGGCGGCTTGGCTGTGATGAGCTCTAGCATGACAGATGCTGAGGCACATAACCAGAGGTATGTATAACTAGTTCAGTTGTCACTCACCCATTTCGCCAGCGCCATTCTCTCCCCCGAATCGTCTGCTTCCTTGAGCACTGGCGGCTTGGCTGTGATGAGCTCCAGCATGACCACTCCGAAACTGAGAGGTATGGGGCAAAGGGGGGATGAGGAAGGGGAGAGAGAATGGGGGGTGAGGAAAGAGAGAGTACTAAAGGTGCCTCCTTGAGCACCGGAGGCTTGGCTGTGATGAGCTCTAGCATGACCACTCCGAAACTGAGAGGTATGGGGCAAAGGGAGGGAGGGAGGGGAAGGGGGGACGATGAGAGAAGTGAGAGTGCTGAAGGTGCCTCCTTGAGCACCGGGGGCTAGGCTGTGATGAGCTCCAGCATGACCACCCCGAAACTGAGAGGCACGAAAGACAGGGAGGGAGGAGGGGGGAAGAACGAGGGAATATGAGAGAAGTGAGAGTGCTGAAGGTGCTTCCTTGAGCACTGGCGGCTTGGCTGTGATGAGCTCCAGCATGACCACTCCCCACCCCCCACCCTCACCTATACACATCACTCCTTACGGACAGACACCACACTGGTCTGGCCTTTTGAGAATTCTAAAAAAACTGGTCTGGCAGTACTGCGGGTTCAGATACCCTAGCGAGCCCCCCACCACCCCCTCCATCTCAAAAAACTGGTCAGCTGGTTCAGATTATTTTTTAGGCGCCTCAAAATAAGATACCCTAGCGTGCCCACCACCGCCCCATCCATCCCAAGGGCCCTCCGGTAATCTTTCTTACTTTCCCTCTCCTCTCCAACACAGTTGCTCACCTGTACACATCACTCCACACGGACACCACGCTCGTCTGGCAGTATTGCGGGTCCAGATACCCGGGCATGCCCCACTCTTTCTCCCCCCCCCCCCCCCCCCCCCACCCTCCTTACCTGTACACATCACTCCACACAGACACCACACTCGTCTGGCAGTATTGCGGGTCCAGATACCACGGTGCGCCCACCATTCCCTCTTCTCCCTCTCCAGTTCTCTGCTCTCTCCCTCATTCCCCAACCCACTCCCCCGCCCTCACCTGTACACATCACTCCACACGGACACCACGCTCGTCTGGCAGTATTGCGGGTCCAGATACCCGGGCGTGCCCACCACGCGGGTGTGTGTGGTGGCGCTTTCATCGTCGCCTATCGACTTGAGGTTGCCGTAGTCCCCTAGTTTCGGCTGGCAGAGTGGTGGGAGGAAATATCGGTGTGGGAAAGGAAAAAAAAAGGGGAAATAAGAGCATGAGAAGTCGCCTCTGCTCACCACGCGGGTGTGTGTGGCAGTGCTTTCATCGCCGCCTACTGACTTGAGGTTGCCATAATCCCCGAGCTTCGGCTGGTGAGGGGAGGTGGGGGGGGAAGGGCGAGGAAGATGAGGAGGGCGAGGGAGGTGAGGTGTGGGTGAGAGGATTAGCAAGCAAGGGTGTGTGTGGTGGCGCTTTCCTCGTCTCCTATCGACTTGAGGTTTCCAGAATCCCCGAGCTTCGGCTGGTGAAAAAAGGAGGGAGGAAGGCGGGGGAAGAAGAGGGGTTGCCGTAATCCCCGAGCTTTGATGGTGGGAGGAGTGAGGAGTGGATGAGAGGGTTACAAGGGGAGGAGAGGAAAGGGGGACGAGCAAGCAAGCAAGGGTGTGTGTGGTGGCGCTTTCATCGTCGCCTATTGACTTGAGGTTTTATCGTCTTACTCACTCTTCCACAACATCACTCACAATCTGTCCTCTCTCTCACCTGCAAATCATCATCCATGAACACGTTGAGGCTCTTCACGTCTTGATGCACCAACACCGGCTTGCACGAGTGCAGGTACAGCAGCGCTTTAGCAACTCCTTTCATGCCTCTCTTACTCTCCTCTCCCTTGCTTACACACTCAATCGCTCACTCCCTCTCGCTCCCTTCCTCCCTCACCTGCAAATCGTCATCCATGAACACGTTCAGGCTCTTGACATCTCGATGCACCAACACAGGCTTGCACGAGTGCAGGTACAGCAGAGCTTTAGCAACTCCTTTCATGCCTCTCTTACTCTCCTCTTCCTTGCATACACACTCAATCGCTCACTCCCTCTCCCTCCCTCCCTCCCTCACCTGCAAATCGTCATCCATGAACACGTTGAGGCTCTTCACGTCTCTATGCACGAGCACCGGTTTGCACGAGTGCAGGTACAGCAGTGCTTCTGCCACCCCCACCGCCGCCTCTATCCGCTGCTCGAATGACAGCACCCCCTTCTCCGTGTCGCCTGTATGGAAAAGGGGAGATGGGGGAGGGGGAGGGGAAGAGAAGGGAGGGTTGGAAAAGAAAGGTGCAATCTACCCGCCCCCACGGCCGCCCCTATCCGCTGCTCTTGAGACGTCTCAAAAGGAATCTACCCGCCCCCACGGCCGCCCCTATCCGCTGCTCAAACGACAGCACCCTTTTCTCTGTGTTGCCTGATGATGGCAGATCAAGACCCCATGAGGCCATAACAAGTATGCTTATAACGGGAATAGCTCACCTTGTAACGGGGATAGATGTTGTCTGAGCGTGCCATTGGCCACATACTCGTACACCAGCACCTGCTCCTCGTTCTCATGGCAGAACCCCATCAGGTGATAACGAGTGTGCTTATAACGGGAATTTATGTTCATAACAAATATCGCTCACCTTGTAACGGGGATAGATGTTGTCTGAGCGTGCCATTGGCCACATACTCGTACACCAACACCTGCTCCTCGTTCTCATGGCAGAACCCCATCAGGTGATAACGAGTGTGCTTATAACGGGAATATATGTTCATAACAAATATCGCTCACCTTGTAACGGGGATAGATGTTGTCTGAGCGTGCCATTGGCCACATACTCGTACACCAACACCTGCTCCTCGTTCTCGTGGCAGAACCCCATCAGGCGCACCAGGTTCGGGTGAAGCATCTTGGAAACTGCCTCGATCTGAGGGGATGGGAGGTGGAGTCGGGGTGGGAAAATTGGAAGAGGAGGGAAGGGAGTGAATTGGAGAGTATGAGGTAATCTAAATAGAGGGGTGAAGCAATCTAAATACCTTCCCTCCCTCCCATATCTCCACCCCACCCCACCCCCTGATGTGCCACAACCGCCCGCATTTCCCCATTACCTTCCCATTGTTACCACGTTACAACCCCGTCTCACCTCCCTGTGATAGTCCTGCAGCTGCGTCAGTCCCCACTTCTTCCCGCGCTTCACAGCCCAGGCCTCCCTATCCGGCCCCACGCCCTTATACACAATCGCGGAGCCCCCTTCCCTTTTACCTCCCAACCGAGTGAACCCGTCTCACCTCTCTATGATAATCCTGAAGCCGCGTCAGTCCCCCCTTCTTCCCTCGCTTCACAGCCCACAGCTCCCCATCCGGCTCCACGCCCTTATACACAACCGCATTCATCTTCCCTTATCTCTGCCCCACCCATTAGCACCCATTCTCTCACCTCTCTATGATAATCCTGAAGCCGCGTCAGTCCCCCCTTCTTCCCGCGCTTCACAGCCCACAGCTCCCCATCCGGCTCCACGCCCTTATACACAACCGCATTCATCTTCCCTTATCTCTGCCCCACCCATTAGCACCCATTCTCTCACCTCTCTATGATAATCCTGAAGCCGCGTCAGCCCCCCCTTCTTCCCGCGCTTCACCGCCCACAGCTCCCCATCCGGCTCCACGCCCTTATACACAACCGCATTCATCTTCCCTTATCTCTGCCCCACCCATTAGCACCCATTCTCTCACCTCTCTATGATAATCCTGAAGCCGCGTCAGCCCCCCCTTCTTCCCGCGCTTCACCGCCCACAGCTCCCCATCCGGCTCCACGCCCTTATACACAACCGCATTCATCTTCCCTTATCTCTGCCCCACCCATTAGCACCCATTCTCTCACCTCTCTATGATAATCCTGAAGCCGCGTCAGCCCCCCCTTCTTCCCGCGCTTCACTGCCCACAGCTCCTCATCTGGTGACACGCCCTTATACACAACCGCGGAGCCTCCTTCCCCAAGCTGCAGGTCGTCCGCCCAGTTCTTGGTGGCTTCTACGAGATCCTCATAGGGGATCTCGTGGGCCGGCTCAGGCTCATCCATGCCTGGGTGTCGTGTGGTGGGGAAGTAGAGGTGGGGACAAGGTTGAGAGGTCGCACGTAGGAGTCCCCCCTTCCCCCAGCTGCAGGTCGTCCGACCAGTTCTTGGTTGCCTCCAGATCCTCATAGGGTATCTCATGAGCTGGCTCAGGCTCGTCCATGCCTGGGTGGTGGGGAAACCGGTGGGGATGGGTTCAGAGAGGTGCCTTATACACAACCGCGGAGCCCCCTTCCCCAAGCTGCAGGTCGTCCGACCAGTTCTTGGTGGCATCTACGAGGTCCTCATAGGGGATCTCGTGGGCTGGTTCGGGCTCGTCCATGCCTGTGTGGGCGGGGAGAAGGGAGAGGGAGGTTACGAGGAGTCCCCAAGTCCGCCGACCAGTTCTTGGTGGCTTCTACGAGGTCCTCATAGGGGATCTCGTGGGCTGGCTCAGGCTCATCCATGCCTGGGTGGGAGGGAATCGGGGGTGGGGGGGACAAGGTTGAGAGAGGTCCTAGACACAATCGCGGAGCCCCCTTCCCCCAGCTGCAGGTCGTCCGACCAGTTCTTGGTGGCTTCTACGAGGTCCTCATAGGGGATCTCGTGGGCTGGTTCGGGCTCGTCCATGCCTGTGTGGGCGGGGAGAAGGGAGAGGGAGGTTACGAGGAGTCCCCAAGTCCGCCGACCAGTTCTTGGTGGCTTCTACGAGGTCCTCATAGGGGATCTCGTGGGCTGGCTCAGGCTCATCCATGCCTGGGTGGGAGGGAATCGGGGGTGGGGGGGACAAGGTTGAGAGAGGTCCTAGACACAATCGCGGAGCCCCCTTCCCCCAGCTGCAGGTCGTCCGACCAGTTCTTTGTTGCTTCCACGAGGTCCTCGCAGGTAATCTCATGGGCTGGTTCTGGTTCATCCATGCCTGCTTGGTTTGTGGTGTAGAAGGGGTGTGTGGGTGTGACTGGTCCCTCAGGATAGATAGATGGGCGAAGCAAGCATAGATAGATCATCCCTGCTAACCTGTTGTGATAGGCCGTAGCCAGTCATACCTGCTGAGTCCAGAGACTCGAGCCTCTTGGCAAACGACCTCTTCAGCAGTGCCTTGTCATCCCCCCCTCCTCCTCCGCCCAGCGCTCCCCCTGCTCCCCCTCCCGCTCCCCCTCCCCCTGCCCCCCCTGCCCCTCCCGCACCACCCCCTGCCGCCGCCCCTATTCCCCCTCCCGCCACTCTTTTCCCCCTCCCAATCACCTCTCTCTCCCCCACGCCCGCACTAATCCCCTGGTGCTGTGGCCGGGCGGCCTTAATCTCAAGCTTCCCTCCACCGTCCACCACCCATTGCAACTGCGCCAGCACCCGTTTCTCCGCCTCTATTCTCACATCCGGTACAGTCACACCCATCAGCAGCCCCTTATCCTGCGCTCTCAACCCCGCCAGCCGCGCCGTCGGCGCCCCGATCGAGTGCAGCAGTTTTTTCACTGAAACTTCACTCGGGATATTATCCACCGCCGAAGTCCCGTTCCAAGAGACAAACCACGAGTAATCATTCATGCTGTCGATTCTAACAGCCGACCCCAACGGCTGCTCATCCGCTGCCTTTTCAGCCAAAAACAGCTCCCGGACATCTTCCAGACCATCGTCCCAAAGTATAATCTCATCTCCCACGGCCATAACCACCCGCCCGTGCTTCCTCACAGTCAGCCGCGCATAATACTGCTCCATAGCCATCCCCACCGCCTTCCCCAGCAACGCGTATTGCGCCAGCACCGGAGCAAGCACTATAGCAACCTCATAGAGAGTCCTATTCGTGGCGTTCCACAGGCTCTCCACCTCCTCTACCATGTCTTCTAGGAGTGCTCTGAGCCGGGGGGTGCCGACGCGGTAGGAGGAGACGGGCCAGGCGTTGCCTGGGGGAGGCTCATCTAGGTCGCGGAGGGCCTCCGCGTCGAGCTCGGCGCGCAGGGCGAATGTGCGGAAGGCAAAGAGGGCGAGACGATGGGGATCGCCCTGTGGGAGGGGGGCGGAGAGGAGGAGGGGGGTGTTGGGGGGCAAGGGGGTGTTAAGGGCAAGTGCAGGGCCTCCGCGTCCAGCTTGGCGCGCAGGGCGAATGTGCAGGTGGGGAGCGGTGGGGAAGGGAGGGAGGGGCCTCCGCGTCCAGCTCGGCGCGCAGGGCGAATGTGCGGAAGGCAAAGAGGGCGAGGCGACGGGGATCGCCCTGTGGGAGGGGGGGGGTTGAGGGGTGGCGTGAGGGAGGGTGGGAATGGGTGGGAGGAGGGGGGAGGGGGTGGAGGGTGGAAAAGAGGAGGGTACAAGAGCGGGAGATGACTGTGAGTGGGGCTCGGCGAGCAGAGAAAACCTCACAGGCAGCCTCTTTTCTTGGTGAGTGGTGCATAACATTGGGAGTTGTGCTGTGTATTGGGTGCTCTTATCACAGACAGATTGAGGGGCGTCCACCAACCTTGGGTATTCTGTCGAGGCACAGCAGAGCGGATCTCTTTTGAGGCGCCTCAAAAGTGCTCTTATCACAGACAGATTGAGGGGCGTCCACCCACCTTGGGTATTCTGTCGAGGCACAGCAGTGCCGATCTCACACCCAGCGCCTCAGCGCTCACTCTCAGCTCCCTGAGCTCGGTCACTGAAGGTAGCCGCCCCTTGGCGAGTGAGGGGCGCATGTGCTGTGCATTGGGTGTTGTGCGTGTGCTGTGTGTTGTGCGTGTGTTGTGTGTGTACTGTGTGTTGTGTGCTGTGTGTGTGCTGTGTGTGTGCTGTGTGTGTGCTGTGTGTGTGCTGTGTGTGTGCTGTGTGTGTGTTGTGCGTGTGCTGTGTGCTGTGTGCTGTGCGTGTGCAGTGTGCTGAGCGTGTGTTGTGCGTGTGCTGTGTGTTGTGTGTGTGCTGTGTGCTGTGTACTGTGTGTGTGCTGTGTGCTGTGTACTGTGTACTCTATACTGTGCAGTGCATTGGGGGGGCTGAAACCAACCTTGGGTATTCTGTCGAGGCACAGCAGTGCCGATCTCACACCCAGCGCCTCAGCGCTCACTCTCAGCTCCCTGAGCTCGGTCACTGAAGGTAGCCGCCCCTTGGCGAGTGAGGGGCGCATGTGCTGTGCATTGGGTGTTGTGCGTGTGCTGTGTGTTGTGCGTGTGTTGTGTGTGTACTGTGTGTTGTGTGCTGTGTGTGTGCTGTGTGTGTGCTGTGTGTGTGCTGTGTGTGTGCTGTGTGTGTGTTGTGCGTGTGCTGTGTGCTGTGTGCTGTGCGTGTGCTGTGTGCTGAGCGTGTGTTGTGCGTGTCCTGTGTGTTGTGTGTGTGCTGTGTGCTGTGTACTGTGTGTGTGCTGTGTGCTGTGTACTGTGTACTGTGTACTGTGCAGTGCATTGGGGGGGCTGAAACCAACCTTGGGTATTCTGTCGAGGCACAGCAGTGCCGATCTCACCCCCAGCGCCTCAGCGCTCACTCTCAGCTCCCTCAGCTCAGTCACGGACGGCAGGCGCCCCTTGGTGAGCGAGGGGTGCGGTGCAGACACTGTACTGTGTGCTGTTACCACAGGGAGACTCAGGCCCACCCATTCCCACAACCACCTTGGGTATTCTGTCGAGGCATAGAAGAGCAGACCGCACGCCCAGCGCCTCAGCGCTCACTCTCAGCTCCCTGAGCTCAGTCACGGACGGCAGGCGCCCCTTGGTGAGCGGGCGCAGGCAGGAGCGGTAGCGCAGGTGCAGGATGCGCACTGCCTTCTCCAGCACGTCCATCTCCGCACTGTCCAGTTGCGACCTCCCCCCGCCCCGCCCGTTCTCTGCTCGTGTGGGCGGGTAGGCGTGGGAGGGAGGAGAGGGAAGGGAGGGGGAGGGAGTGCCCGGGTGAGGGGGGTAGGGGGTGCGGGTGAGAGGGGGAAGGGAGGGGGAGGGAGTGCCCGGGTGAGGGGGGTAGGGGGTGCGGGTGAGAGGGGGAAGGGAAATGCGGGTTAGGTGGGAAAGGGGAATGGGGGGTGGGTGGGGTTGGGGAGGAACAGGGGACGGGGTGAGAGGGCGCAGGCAGGAGCGGTAGCGCAGGTGCAGGATGCGCACTGCCTTCTCCAGCACGTCCAGCTCCGCGCTGTCCAGTTGCGACCTCCCCCCGCCCCGCCCGTTCTCTGCTCGTGTGGGCGTGGGAGGGGAGTGGTGGGGGCGTGGGGTGGGGGTGAGGGGGAAGAGGAGAGTGAGGTGACACAGGTAAGAGGGATGCAGGTTAAGAGGGGAAGGGGCATGGGGTTGAGTGGGGTTGGGGAGGAACAGGTGAACGGAGGGGTGAGCGGCCGCAGGCAGGAGCGGTAGCGCAGGTGCAGGATGCGCACTGCCTTCTCCAGCACGTCCAGCTGTCCAGTTGCGACCTCCCCCCGCCCCGCCCGTTCTCTGCTTCAAGGGGGGTGGGGGCGTGGGAGGGGAGAGGTGGGGGCGTGGGGCCGAGGGCGAATGGGGGAAAGGGGCGCGGGTGGAAGGGGGAAATTGGGGGGCGGACGTGGGAGGGGAAAAGTGGGGGGTCGTCGGGGTGGGGAAAAGGGGGGTGGAGGAAAAGGGTGTGCGGGTTAGGGGAAGGGAAAGAAGGGTAGGGGGGAGGCGGGGACGGGGAGAGAGGGGGCGGGGAGGGCGCAGGGGGTATGCGGAGAGAGAGGGGAGGGGGACGGGGGAGTGAACGGTAGGTGGAATGAGAGGCAGGTAGAAGCGGGCGGGAGGCAAATGCAATTTACGCACTGCCTTTCCTGCGGACCACCCCTTGTGTGATGCACCTTCTAACCCTAATTGTACGTACTTCCTAACCTAACTCTCCACGTACCCCATAATCTCAACTCCACGTATCTCCTAACCCGTAATCCACGTACTTCCTTATCTTAACGCTCCATACCTCCTCCCATTCCTTACTATACATACCTTGTAAACCTAAATCAGGTAACTTGTCACCCTAATTCCACACAACCCCTCCTAACCCTAACTTCACGTACTCCCCCCTCTTCCCCCCAACCACATACCTCGTAACCCTAACTCAACGTACCTCCCAAACCCAACTCCACGTACCTCCTTCCGGTTCTTCCACTTGTTCTGGGTCATGCAATTGCGTGAACAGAGCATGTAGACAGCTTAGCATCCGGACACGTGGCAGCCCGTCCCCTTCCCCTTTCCCCGTTTTTCCGGGGCTGTATGCTGACATGGCAGCCGTTACGGCACCCAATGCCAAATGCGCAATCCCAAGAGGCGCTCCCAACTGTCCCGAACGTGCTACCGTGCCTATAGGCTCGGCAAGATTTGCCCCGTTGACTCGAGGCTCGGGAAACCATGGCCTTTCCGTCTCTGTGTCGCTGCTGTCTGATTGGTCCGCGTCTCCCATCCTCGTCTGGTGCTTATATCGGAACCCGGCGCTCGGCCTGGCTGAAACACTATTTGCCTGCAAGCGTTACTATACGCTTATTAATGCCTAAGAGAATGGTGAGGGGTTCCAACGATTATGATAACTGATATATCGAAACCAGACGATTGAGCCAATAAATACTGCCTTGCTGCTGCGCGCTGCTGCTGCTGCCGACGTTGCCCTCTGTTGCGAACCCTACTGCCCTAATTGCTGATAGCGATAACGTGGCGATTGTTACTGCACTGAGTTGAGTAGGTCTGAGTGTACCGAACGCCTAAACGGAGTGACGCACGACGACATCGAGTGTAGCCTACTAGCTCCATAACGAGACCGCTGCTGCCAGTGGAAGTCAAGCCTACGTGTTTTCCTTAACGCGTATCTAGGGCCAGGAGACTGTCATTATCGCGGATGTGGCCGTACGGGATTGAGGATGCTGCAGTGGTGAATGGTGAGCTTTGCACGAAAGTCTTGAATGCGATACGTGCGCCTGATACGCAGCCGTACATGACGCCATCGGTGCTCACGTGCCACCATCATGATGACGTGGCATCGTCACGATGATGTGGCAGCATTCTGCAATGCCGAGCTGGCAAGACAATGCCGAACAGGAACCGGTGGAAGTAACCAATCCGGCCTATAAGCGAAGGAACCCCAGTGTGCTGCGATGTCCCCCCTAAGGGCGTACTCGTTTAAGAGTTCTCGGGCCACAGGCGGTGTACGACGAATGAAGTCCCCTGTGGGATCCACGACAGGACAAAAGACGCATGGGAACAGGGGCCCTGGATGTGTAAGCTGAGCCTTCATAGCAGGGCGTTTTCTAGCTAAAATACGGACAAATGTTTCAGAAAATAAGTGGGGGAAGCGGATCAAGAAGAAAGAAAGCGACAGCCGGGCTGACGATGAAACCATGAGGAAGCGGAAGATGAAGAATTGGCGGGCCAATGAGACGGCGATACAGCAAACCGCACGACAGCGTCAAGCCTTCGCAAAACACGCAAAAGCGTACCTGCGTGAAAAGGCGTCGCTATGAAGTACTCTCAAACCGGCGCACTCAAAAGAGCGGAGCGATACGTTCAGTCCGGGACGCGCACTCACGTACTCTCCCTATACATTGTTAGGGTTTGTACTGATACGCGACGTGGTCAATGTATGTTATGAGTAAGGAGGCCAGAAGCTTCCAATTGGATAACGAGAAATCAGGGACGAATAGTCAGTCGAGTGACTTGAGAGCTTTGAGGATACAGCAAGAGCGACCGAATAGCTGGATTAGGTTGGATTGGGAGGACGAAGACAGAAATGGATACTGTTGGTTCCGCCATTGACGAGAACAGCGGAAAGATTTGAGGGGGGAGCACCAGGAGGAGATGAGGAAGGTTGTGGTATGGTGCTGGTCTGCACGGTTGCGAGAAAAAGATAGAGCGTGGGGGAAGAGCCTCGGTGAAAGTGAAGGCTCGGCAACTCGCGAGCGACTGGACGGGGAAGCGGCGGAAGCAGGCAATGGGGTGGGGAGGGATTGGGGAAAGGTCACGCACGAGTGGTTGAAAGGCAGGTTTGGGGGAGAGAAGTCTGCAGTGAACTATTCTCGAGGTGCTGTCCCTCGAGAATATCCATTCGGCATTTTTGAGGCGTCTGTTCGAAGTGCCTCTCTTGCCACGTCGAACGTTTGACCACAAGTCATTCCAGTTTCTGCCTTCAGAGTTAGGAGCATATTCACAATTTCAACACTGTCTACAATCGTGGCAACCAGGCTCTAGCAGCCGAAGTGGAAATTTACATAAGCTCTTCGCATTTTTGCAACGGGTTTTGTATGACGGAGCAATGGGGACTTACATAAGCTCGTCGCATTTCGCATTATTGCGCACTAGGATTGGAAGAGCGGGTGATTTGGAAGTGATGGGAGGGGACGGCGTGGTGTTGCGCATTGCGATATTATGCAATAGTAACGCTTTGCGAACATATGAGAAAGTGGTCTGCGCCTGTCACAAGTGCCAGTTCTTCACGAAGCAGCAGCTTCCTCACGAAGAGTAACAGCAGCCATCTCGTCGCTGTCAGTTGGATAGGACGGGGAGGATCCCCAACAGCTTCTCGCCAGACACTACACGACAATACTGTGAGAACATGCTTCGGTTGTGTTGTGCCGCTGCTTTCTGTATAGTTCCTCACCCCCTTGCTTATCTATCTTGGGAAATACCATACTTGGAAATGGATCGATCACATTTGCATCTTAACGGCTTATATCGCCTTATCAGTCTTCAGACGTTTCTCATAAATAATCACTTGATTATCCCATTTTATTCAATATATTTTTAGAACTAGAAGTTTAATATAAATGCCTATGTATTTACTTAGATCATACAGCCAGGTCCGGCATGTAGTGACATAGCTCGGCTTATAATTGTTACGTATACAAGATGTAGTGCGGTTTGCCGCCAAGTGGATGGAGACAGACAACTGCCTCAAACCTGGGAAGCCTTCGCAGGAAGGAACGTGGACAGAACAAACACGAATCATCGCGCTCCTGCTGTGTCACTCACTGGGCTGACCAGACACCTGGAAGTGTACCCGCTTCCGCCACGTGGTCATGATAGTTCACTCAAACCGTCTATTCCCCTTCAATAGATCTGGTGACGTGGTTCTTGACAGCTCAGCGTCGCGCAACCTGCGGTTGTATGTTCATCTCCTTTCACCTGTTTCTGTCGCTCATTTCTGGGTGATCATTATCCTTCGGTAGTTCACTTGCTTTAGAAGACAATCATTCGCTCATCTTGTGACACATATATAGTCTTCTCTCATCCCGACACTCTGTTACCAGCTCGGTAGTAGAATTTCTTTCTCGCATTGCTGAATTTCTGTTTTCAAAATACTCTTCTACCAGTAGCTGTGTCCTCCACAATACCGTCTCTCTTTCGACGCCCTCACCTAAACATTTACTCATACGCCATGGCCGCTACCTCACTCCAGTGCAAGCTCTCGCTTGGATCTCTCGTGAAGGCCGACGTGTCATCCCTCCGACAAGGGCCCACTGTCGTGTCATTTCCCCAAAGAGTAAGCTTCTGCGTTCCCTGGTCATAGTCGTTACTCCAGGGGAGAGTTTAGTCCGAAGCTTGGTATGCTCAAGGTTGGGTAGCTGTAGTTCAGGGTAATTGTGTTTAACAAAACTGTGTTACATCTTACTGACATTGCAGAGAGTAACTGTGCGTGCGGACCGCAATGACTACACCGGCTATGTGGAGAAGGACACTGCCGGCCAGGAGAACATCTACGCCGTTGAGGTGAGAACCAAAGGCGCACGCTTTGTCATTCTCAGTTTTGGCGACGAATCACAATTGGACAATGGCAATGGACCTAGTAGTTGTCAGTAATGTCGATGGCACTGGATTGAAAAGAGTCAGTCCAATTCAGTATCGCAATGGTGCAATCGGTATCTCCAATTAATGTATTCTTTCGTTTATGCATGTACTTTGTCTGCAGCCTACCGTCTATGTGGGCAACTCCGGCAGCTCCGGTGTGGTCCTGAACGTTGTCGGCGCTGCCGCTGCCCTGGCCGGTGCAGCAGCCGTGCTATTTGCTCTCGGTGGATCAGACCCCGCTCCTCAAGAACAGGCATATTCCGGCCCTCCTCTTTCCTCCTACGTTCGGAAATTCGAGGCGGAGCTGGCACCAGCTCCCGTGCAGGCTCCCGCGGTTGTAGATGAGGTTGTCGAGGCTGCTCCTGCTGCTGACGAGTGAAAAACGGCTACCGGTACTTACGGATTTTTAGGTGGAATGACGAAATGAAGGTGAAGTTAATGCTACAAAACAGCAGAACGAGATTCACCTTTTTGTATTTTTAGGTTTGTCACGTTCCCCTTCACGTTAGGAAACTTCTCTGGTTTGTTACTGTGATTTCTTAATAAACGGTTTGATACCCAATGTGGCATTGCGAATGTGATCAGAGATTGTGTAAATCCTTTTCCTCTGACCCCACCTCTTGCATATCCATCCCTCTCTTTCACCTTTCACCTCTCTTTCACCTCTCTTTCACCTTTCACCTCTCTTTCACCTTTCACCTCTCTTTCACCTTTCACCTCTCTTTCACCTTTCACCTCTCTTTCACCTTTAACCTCTCTTTCACCTTTCACCTCTCTTTCACCTTTCACCTCTCTTTCACCTTTCACCTCTCTTTCACCTTCACCTCTTCTTTCACCTTTCACCTCTCTTTCACCTTTCACCATCTCTTTCACCTTTCACCTCTCTTTCACCTTCACCTCTCTTTCACCTTTCACCTCTCTTTCACCTTTCACCTCTCTTTCACCTTTCACCTCTCTTTCACCTTTCACCTCTCTTTCACCTTTCACCTCTCTTTCACCTTTCACCTCTCTTTCACCTTTCACCTCTCTTTCACCTTTCACCCTCTCTTTCACCTTTCACCTCTCTTTCACCTTTCACCTCTCTTTCACCTTTCACCTCTCTTTCACCTTTCACCTCTCTTTCACCTTTCACCTCTCTTTCATTCACCTTTCACCTCTCTTTCACCTTTCACCTCCTCTTTCACCTTTCACCTCTCTTTCACCTTTCACCTCTCTTTCACCCTTTCACCTCTCTTTCACCTTTCACCTCTTTCACCTTTCACCTCTTTCACCTTTCACCTCTCTTTCACCTTTCACCTCTCTTTCACCTCTCACCTCTCTTTCACCTTTCACCTCTCTTTCACCTTTCACCT